TGTTGTGTTTTAAATTGTTAATGACCTTTTTCATTTCTATGAGATATGAATTTTTGTCGGTGTTGGGTACGTTTAACACGTTAAAAAACCTTCTTTCTTGAAAGGGTTTATGATGAGGGGTAAAATTGTTAGAATGTTACCAATAATTTATAAAATTTATAGGATCTTGCACCTATTTTGTAATTTATTATGTTGTTTGGGTTTTGAAAAATTAGGATTTCTAAGTTTTAGGGTTTCTTCATTTTAGAACTATTTCATTGTAATTAGAGCAAGGTTTTAGAGTTTGAGGTGTTCTTATCCATGATATTAAGTGTTATATGTGATTTAGATGCGATCTATAACTACTTCATTTTGTTATTATCAAATGTAAATAATTCTTAAAATATTTCATGGAGAACAATTTGTGTATGAATATAGAGTATCTTGAGGCTACTAAAGTCGATCAAGTTATAGATACCACTTCTTTGACTAAAACCCTTATTTATGATATTTGCCATACTAGTGGGTATCGTAACATTTTTTTATAAATACCTTAATGAGAACATGGATGATAAATTAAAAGTGCCAATAAATAATGTTCATTTGTTGAAGATTGGAGTAATATTATTCAAAATAGTCTTAAGGTACATGTTGAGCATGAAATCTATTATCTCATCTTGGATCTTGATTTGAAGATGATAATGATGTTAAGTATAACATTCAGAATTTTGATGATAGTTACCAAGAGAATGAGGACTATAAAGGCATTGTAGATGGAGATATATAATGTAATTATGAGATTTGTAGACATAATGAGTATGAAGAGGGGATTAATATTGAAAACAATGAAAATATAGTAGAGGAAAAAGAAAACATTGATGGTGAAGAGCACTCGAAGTGACTTAAATGATAGTGACCAAGAGAATGAGGATTAATTTTATAATAAGGATGAATGAGTTTATAAGGAAGTTGAAAGTTGGATGAAGAGGAAAAATAAAGGGTATGGACAATAAAAAGTCGATGTTGTAGATGGTGTTAGATGTTGATAATGATTCGGACCATGTAAACAATAATGACCTTAGAAGAGTAGATGGCTCGATAAGAAGGAAGGTTTTAGGAAGCTTGGATATCCTAGCATAAATTTTAATACAAAGATAATGTTTTTACACCGTAATGAAGTTCTACAACATATTTGTATTAAACGAGCTTTGAAAAAAAAATACTCAAATCAGATTTAATATGATTATAAGTACAAGAATAATGATAAAAACTTCATTACTATTATTTGTACACATGAATGTGGTTGAAGGACCCATGTCTCACCCTCATTAGATAGGACAACATGGCAAATAAAAACATTAATAGATAAACATAATTATGTGAAGGACTTCAAGTTGAGAAGAACTATTGTATTATGGATTGTTGAAATACCTTGAGGATATTAGAGATCAACCAAATATAGATCCAAATGCACTTATAAAGAGGATAAAAAAGAAGATAAACGAAAAAGTCACCGGGAGCAAGTGTAAAGATACGTTAATATTGCTGATGAGATGATTAGAGAAAAAGATGGTGAGTAGTTTGGAATGCTTTGGAGTTATGCTACTACAAGTAGAAAGCTCAATCCAAGAAGCATTATTAAAATTGAGACAACATATGGAGGTTTTGAAAAAATATACATGTGTCTAGTTGTGTAAAAAAAGGTTTTTGGTAGGTTGCGGACCATTTATTGGCATTGATAAATGTCATTTGAAAGCATTCTTCAAGCGAGATCTTCTTGTTACGGTTGGAAAATATGTTGATTGCTTATGCATTGATGTATAAAGAAACAAAGGCAAATTAAAAATGGTTCTTGGATATATTATTTGAAGATATTGGTTCCGTTAAAGATAGTAGTTGGACTTTTATTTATGATCGATAAAAGGTATTGGCTATTTAAAGATATTTGTTACACTTATTCTTTAGTTTGATTGTATAGCTAACTAATAATTAGATTATGTTTGTTATATATTTAATTGACAATAACAAGATTCGTAACACATGAAAAATTGATTGAAGTTGATCATAGATACTGTGTAAGACACCTATGTCGAAGTTTAAGAAGTATTATAATAAATGAGCCTTCAACGACCACATATGAAATGTAGTTAAAGCTTATGCTAAGAGAAATTATGAGTTTCAATGAAAAAAAATAAAACATCTTGATGTTGAAGCATATTAATACTTAATGAATGCATCATTAGAAACATAAGCAAAGTATGCAATGAGGAGCTATATGAAATATGATTTGCTTCTCAACAACATGGTCGAGAGTTTCAACAATACTTAAGGCTAGAGACAAAGCTATAATTACAATGAGGAGCTATATGAAATATGTAAGACACTCTTATTGTTTTTTCAATAATTTTGAAAAATGTTTATCCAATACAAGAGGTTTACAAGTTTGGATAACACTTGTAAAGTAACTACAAGTAATGATAATGAAATTATTATTGATTTACAACATCAAATTTTGACAACACTTGGTGATCGACAAGTACACTCCTATGCATTAGAAAATGACAAATTCCATGCATCGGTACGTGTGCTATTATCCGATATACCAACTTAAAGATAGAGGATGATATAAATCTTTTTTGTTTTTTTATAAAAAAAGAGACATTCCTCAAGGCCTATCAATTTTCAATCGGACTTATACCATGTCTTAATGATTGGCACGAGACGGACTTTAATCAAATTACCCCACCAATTGTTATGAATCAAAGTGACGAGCCGAACGAGCAAAGAATGAGACAATATAACAAACAACAATCACCAAATCCTTACAAGATCAAAAGTTGGTTTGATTATGATTTACGACGAATTGTAGAGTAGGGTCCATAACATTAAGAGGTGTCCTATGAAAAAAATCTTAATACAATACTTGCAAAGAAACAATAATAATTAAAACATGCATGAGCCTCGTTAAAAGGCAAAACAATCAAGAAATGGGGCAACTAAAAGAATCTCAACCTACATAATAATCCAACTTCACAATTGTTGAAGTTGAAATTGCATATCAAATGAAGAAAAATAAGAAAGATATTACTCCATATAGACCAATCGAGATGAAAATAGGTATGGTAGTTTTTATATTCAAAGTGTTTAATAGTTAAATTAGATTATAAATCATTTACATATTTAAGTCAATGTGTGCGGATGTGATGATAACGCTCATAGAGATTGAACAATGTTTATAATGATGGAAATGCTAATTCTAAAGTCAACGCGAGCTTCATGTTGATGCAAATGTGAGCTATACTAGAAGAACCCAAGGCAATTAAAGGTTTAATCTATCAAGATAGACATTCAAAATCATCAATAATAGTGAAAAACCTATATATATATATATATATATATATATATATATATATATAACTCTTTAGAAGCCTTGATATGGTATTAGACATGACAACTACATTGTGATTTGTATTTTGTTCAGAAATTTTAATTGATTTAGGTTAGGTTAAACAACTACTATTGATATGTAGTTATATTTTTACATGTAGAACCTTATTTTTTGTAGCCATCATTTGCCAAGTTATTATGCAATTGTTAATGGTGTTAGATGAAAACAACATCTCGCCATTTATTTTGTTTTAAAAATGTTTGGTTCATGAATGAAACTAAGTTAAGAAAACTTATGACACCTAACTTCAATTATATGAACTACAATTAGACTAAAAATGCTTGTTTTTCATTATTTACTTGGTTACAATATTGTTTTTTGTTTTTTATCGTTGGGTTCAAAGAGAGACAATACACACGTATAAAAATTAATCAACAATCTCATACAAAATAAGCTCTTTTATTCATTTCATACATGCTTTACATGCCTCCCAACCTTCACATGACATCATTAAATTTATGAAAAATTATCACTACTGTGCCTATTATTTCATCCACTAAAGGATAAGTTTTAGCCTACAACAATGTGCAAAAATAGGCGGCTTAACAATATTAAACATAAAAGCAAACATAAACCCTTCAAAATTTCAAGCGTTGATTTCATCTCATGAATTTCTATTGTAATTTCTTTCACCACTTCTTTCAACTCGTCACTATATGTGAATAACTTTCGAAGCATGGTCACCTCTAATAGGTTAATTAGTTCATAAAAGTTAATGAATCTACACCTCTCACAATAAAAATAGAGCCTATTTAGATTTATTATTATTATTATTATTCTGAAATCCTCATCAATAATTTATAACCACAATCACAATCATAATATTTGTTGACATATTCTAAGCATGAATCATCAAAGATTGCTTCAGTTCTACCGAAAGACTTAATTGAAGATGAATATATTTTGTCAAACAATTTATGGATGCAAACGCATCCAAGATTTCAAGAAACTAAACCTCTTTAAAAGTTAATAATAATGTTAATTTTAGGTTGCTTTAAGGTTTTACTTGATTTATGTCGAAAAACTTCGAAGAAACCAACTTTTTGGAGGGTTTTTTTAATGGGAGATTTAGAGGATGAAGATGATGTTGGGTGGAAAAAAACCTTGGAGATGGAGTGAAAACTTGGTTCATTTTTGGAGAGAAAATTGTTGTCACGAGATTGAGTGACTGGTGGGAAAGGGACAAAAAAAAAAAAGAAAAAGAAAAAAGAAAGAAAGCACGCGTACGTGCATATTAGTTGGTTACGTGTTAGTTTTGCAAGCCATCACATATTGTCATCTACTATTAACACCGGTGAAATGATCGAAATGATGCATTATTTACTCAAAAATAATTAATTTAGTCAAATAATTTTTTATAATAATTATAGATATATATTAGTTTGATCAATAATTCAAAATGTTTCTATATAATTTCTAGAGTTTCTACATAATTTAGCCAAAATTAAAATGCAAGAATAAATTTGCAATTCGCACCATTAGTGGAGTAAAACTGCTAGGTGCTGAACCATATGAGCAACCGCAACGACGGGATTGATTAATTTTGTATAGAAAAATTGGTGTTGGTGGAGGCTCAATCGATGCGGATGAGCTCTGGTGGCGTGGAAAGGCCCAAAGTTGCACCGACCGGACCCACGTGTGGCCCACGGCGTGCCATGAGCCGCCCAAAATCGCTTAAACACTTCTTGCTGCCCATATCATGAACGTGGAAGCCACCTCCCCATGCCACACCTTTAAAGGCTAGAAAAGGAGGTCCTCAGTCCTCCACTACTAACCCTAAATTCCCACGACTTCTGCACCACCAAATGGGTCTCTTTACTCTTTATTCTTTATCTCTCAAAGGATACCCTTGTTCTTTTTGTCTTACAAGGATTAAGACTGAGGAGCCCCACCCTCCTTGCTTTTTTCTTATAAACAAAAGGTTAAATGGGTTTAGGCTCTTTAGCGATACATGGCGGTTACCTTTCCTATGCTTAAATCTTCATCTCCCGTCCTTTTCAAGCGTTCAATTTGACTTCTTCAAATAATAATTTCAATTTTTAATTAGCTAAAACATCCTAGAAAACAACCTAACACACTTTTTAGTTACCATCAAATAAATATTAAGTATAAGAATATATGAGATATATATCTGACTTACATTCTTCATAATAATCCTTTACGTGGTTTTTTAAAAAACGGTGGTTTTGTAGAACACACAATTACAAAATTAGTTTTCTTTTATTTATTGTATTTTTCGTACGGTTGTTGAAAATATTTTTTTATTCAAATATCGTTGAAATTATATGTTAATTAAAATTAATTCTTTTTCTTTAATGATTTTAAAAATATATTTTTACTCCGACAAGATCAGTTTAGTAGAATAGCACATGGATTGAAACCTCAATAAGCACTAAAGAATGTATATGGTAGGAATAACTTCAAAATGAGAATCTTTTTTCTTTTTTAGAAAAAAAAAAAGTTCGTTCAAATAATGCACTACAAATAATTATTAACTGCTATATGAATCATTATACAGGAGAGTTTATTAGAGAAATTTATTCTTACATAATAGAGTTGTCTTGCTGATTTTAATATTTTTCTTAGCCATGTTCTCTCAAGTGTAAAAATATGGACATGTTGCCCTGATGTTGTTCTAAAAATAAAAATAAATACTATTAGGAACATCTTACCACCAATTTGAGGTCTATTTTTAGACTTTGCATTAAAGTGGGAATATGTGAACTACAAGTACTTCAACTTGTAAAACAAGTTTAGAGTTTAATTTTTATAGTCGGTACGTATTTTTAAAAATTTATTTTTAGAATATTTAAAATCGTACATAGAGAAGTGTCGTTAGGCACGTTTAAAAAAAAATCAGTTTCAAAATATATGAAAACTAATCTAAAAACACTTTTATTGCTAAAAAAAAAAAAAAAAAAGAATAGCATATGAGTATGCGAGGAGATCAATTTTTTTGTGTAATTGCTTTTCAATTAAAAATAATAGATGGATGTTTTTTTTTAATACCATCTTAAATTATCTAAAGAATCATTAACTTAATGATTTTTTAATGGGAAATCATTTCATCTATAATAAGGGTAAATTTATCTTCTTATGACAAGACATTAGTTTGGCAAAGAAGCAGGAGGTGGATGACTTGCCTATACAAATGGGCACTTTGCGAATATGAAATTGAAAGATTTTGCATTTTAATCAGAAATATTCCCAAAGTCTAGCTAGCTACATGTTATACTTAAGTAATGTAACTTTCTTTCATCTACCAAAATTTGCATTTTAATCAGAAATTGAATATTGCAGAGGATGTGCTATATATATATATGACCAGATGCATCATCATCTCCAAAGCAGATTTGGTGAGGAAAACATGCACTTTTAAATATCCGGATCTTGTTGGCTTAAGAACGAGTATATAGGCAATGCATGAGAGATAGCGGAGTACTCTCAATTAGCAACATAAGATGTTACAGCTTCACATGGTCGAATTCACTCATTTGGTAATTAACTGGCAATTCTGGTACTAACAAATTATTTGCTCTGTGGATGAAATCTTTAGTCTGAGTTGTGGAACAATTTATGAGAGAAAGTGATACCATCATATTGTGGTGTTTATTCTTTGGCAAAACATCTTATTTTACCCTTGTATCTATGTTAATTATTCAATTTCATTAATTTGTCTAACTATTATCCATTTGTATTCTAATTTTATCTAGTATCATCGATTTGATTAACCTCAATCAATTTTAATATTTCATTTTAAACTCTAAACTTTGAGGTTCTTACACTTCATAAGCTGAAAAATATTCTTCGATTTTGCGAGTTGTTGATAAAACTTTCACATCCAAAAGGAATAAGGATTTTAAATATTTTTTTTTTTGGAAGCCTTTAAATAATGATCATAAGAAGTGGCAAAAGAAAAATAAATTATAAATTAATTTCTCTACCTTCAAAAATTGAATTAATTAGTCTTACTTATTTCAAAAAAAAATTATTTAAACATTTGATTATTGTTGAATCTATTTATTTTAGTAAAAAAAAAAATTCTTTTGTCATCAATCTTTCTATAATTTCTTTTTTTAAAAAAAAATTAAAAAATTAAAAATAGAAAAAAAGGATTAAATACTTAATTTTTAACATAAGGGAACTAATAAATTTATTTCTCAAAACTTTAGGGACTAATTTATAATTTACTCTGCGATATGATCCTGTAAATAAACTGCCTATAACGGCCTCATTCCCCTGTTCCAAGCAGAGCAGTACCTGAAACTCATTTGTAGCTGCTATAACTAGAGTTCTTGATTCTCCAGAAGATTTCCAAGAATAGTACAAAAAAGAAGTATGAAGAGCATCAGGAACTCATCTGTTCAACTTTTTCTTTTTGTTGGAGTGGCTATCTTTATTACGTTTGCCATGATTTCTGTAGAGGCAAGAAAGCATCACAACAACAGAAACAAACCTCATAAGCACCTCAAAGACAACGGTAGCAAGGGCCACAATGCTCCAGACCCAGCAACAAAAATTCCAGGCCCCGCTCCAGCCCCTCTTCCTCATTATGGCTCTTATCCTACTCACTCCACCATTTTTGACGTTTTGTCATTTGGAGCCAAGGGTGATGGGGTTTCAGATGATTCGAAGGTACGTAATAACCAAAAGGAACTGTGAAAGAACTTGTTCTTACTGGCACAGATTTCTCCATATTAATTTTTTCGCATTTTCTTTGGACTTAACAACATATAGAGCAAGTAATTGCAAGCTAAATTTTTATTTTTGATGAATAATTACTAGAAACTGAATGGTGAGCTAAACAGGCACTTTTAGCAGCATGGAAAGCTGCCTGCAAGGTATCTGGGGCTATAGTGGAAATCCCAGCTGAATTCAAGTTCCTCATCAAGCCCATAACTCTCCAAGGTCCATGCATGCCTCACCTTGTACTTGAGGTTTGCTTTCTTTTCTTTTCAGTTTATCTGAGTGACTCTCCTCTCAAGTAGTAGTTATGAATAAAGAAATCTGAAAGTCAGGAGGTATATTCCTTGCAATCTATTTTTAAATGGAAAATGTCTGTCTTGTTTCAATATTAGATTTAGTGCTCTACACATAAAGCTGATGTAATGTAAGTGGAATTCCAACAGATAGATGGCATTCTATTAGCTCCCCAACAAGTAGGTGCTTGGCCTAAAACCGGTTTGTTTCAGTGGATAAACTTCAAATGGGTTCATGACTTCACCATTCAAGGTACTGGAAAAGTTGATGGTCAAGGATCTGACTGGTGGAGTCCCTCTGCAGTCTACTATATCCAGGTTCGTCAATATAGGGTCTTTAACTTCTTCAGAACAAAAAAAAAAACTGGCATAACGAAATGAAAGCTTAACTCTTTTTTTTTTCTTTGATGTATTTAATGCAGAAGAAATTCAAACACAATCCAGATATGAAACCAACCGTAAGATCATATACTCTTCCAAAGCGTTTCTTTCACTTTATGTTCATGATTTACAATTAATTCATTAAGTTGTCATAGGGGGCTGCCTCAGGATTAACATCTAACTAAATTCCTGATAATGTTTTACACAGGCTTTGAGATTCTATGACAGCCATAATGTCACAGTTCGCGACATCGAAATCAGGAACAGTCCTCAATGCCATCTCAAATTTGACAGCTCTAGTGGGATCAGAGTCAATAACATTACGATTAATTCACCAGAGGATAGTCCAAACACCGATGGCATTCACCTGCAGAATGCAAAAGATGTAGAAATTCAGCACTCTAATATTGGATGTGGTAAGAAACGATAAGTGACTGATCTAAGCCCGCCATCATTTAATATCTTACATGAAACATGTGTACTAGCAAGATTATAGTGAATTTTGAAGACAATGACATAACAGTCGGCTATTTTTTAAGTGTAGTTTTTAGTTGGCTATCAGTTGGTGCATCGCACGCTAGAATTGCAGAGAAAAAGTAATACCTTTTGTGTGTAGCTGAAAGGAAATATAAAACAGTTATCAGTTCGTGCACAAATTGGTTCAAAGACTTTTTTTAAACTGCATAACTGTCACTAAATTAACTAACTTTTGAGACAAGCTTGCAGGAATAAAAAGTGCCGACATATTTATACACACACACACACTTACTTCTCCATTTCAACTACTTTGTGGGCCTGGTTTATGAGTAGTATTTGGATATTGGGTACTAATTTTGAGCTATCACTTTCTAACAGGGGATGATTGTGTATCCATACAAACCGGTTGCTCTAATATTCATGTCCATCACATTCACTGTGGCCCTGGACATGGTATAAGGTGAAGTCATAAATTACTGCAATAAATAAAAATGATGAAATTTTTAGAGAAATCTATATGTGGAGTACAACTTAAGTAGGGTATATAGTTCATTAAAGAATTAAAATTTTCCAGTTTCCTGTTAGAAAACAGTTCTGATTAATTAATTTACTTTATATTACTTTTGGTTTTCTTATAACTGCAGTCTAGGAGGGCTTGGAAAGGATAAAAGTGTTGCATGTGTCTCGGATATTGTTGTAGAGAAAATCTCACTGCAAAATACTCTGTCTGGAGTTAGAATAAAGACATGGCAGGTACGTAGATAATTAATTTTAAAGCATAAATATCAACGCAAAAAAAGAAAAGTTAGTGACAGTAACTGTTTTTCAATTCTCTAAACTACAGCTTTTTTTTCTTTTAATTCAATCTCTAAATTAATCTCTTAGCGTATATATAACTGCAGGGAGGTATTGGATCGGTAAAGAATGTGACATTTTCCAATATTGAAGTATCAGATGTGAAGTATCCTGTAATAATTGATCAGTTCTATTGTGACAAGAAAACCTGCAAGAACCATACAGATGCTGTGGCAATATCTGGTGTGAAATATGACGGAATAATAGGGAGTTACTCAGTGCAACCAATTCATCTAGCATGTAGCAATCACTTGCCATGCACCGATGTTGATCTGATAAATATTCAGTTGAAGCCCATATCCAATGGTTATCGAGGTTTTCGACAGGCTCTGTGTTGGAACTCTTATGGGAAATCACAAGCACCCTTACTTCCTTCTAGCATAGACTATTGCTTGAGAACCGAAAGTGGGTCTGTTAAGGGAACTGCGAGGTCACATCATGAGCATATTTGTTAGCCATGAGTACTGATAACAACATGTATTAGGTTTTTTTTTTTCCCCCTTCTCTGTTTTCTGTTTAGTCAAAGCTTCCCTTCTGCAAATTTTTATTTTGGGAAGGAGAAGATTTTCTACTTTTTTTTTTAGGATGGAGTGAATTAGAGTGAAACCCAAAGGCAAAATGTAGCTGGGAAATTTGCTTTTAACTGATGGAAATTAAATTTATGGGTTTCTTTTTGATAACAGTTAGCTGGCAATCTCCCACATTCCTCTTGGAATGTTTTAATATAGTCATCTCTCGGCTTATAAGAAAACAAAACAAGATTTATGTTTGATGTTTCTCCACTCAAAACTAATGTGTACTGCTTTTCCTAGGATTAATATATATGAATCAAATATGATTAAATAATTAACTTTTAAAATTTATATTAACCACAATTTAGTTAATACTGAAAAACTAATGTGTTGACTGCTTTTCCTAGGATTAATATATATCAATCAAATATGATTAAATAATTAACTTGTAAAATTTAAAAATTTATATTAATAACAATCTAGTTAATATTGAAGGATCACATATTCTATGGAGGTGCAAAATAAAAAAAAAAAAAAATTCCTCCATCTAAGAACTCAAGATCAAGCCGTTGAATCTACTAACCATACATACATAAATATTAAACTATAAGTAAAGGATTACCTCTTATAGCGCGAGATCTAAATTTTTTTTTAGAAAAGCCGTCCAAGTGTCCGGCATTTATTAATGATTCAAGCGGTCAAGTATCCACAAAGAAGCACTCAAAATCAATGGAGTGCTAGCTCCACCTTTTTTGATTTAATATTTTCTATAGAAATCAATCCCGGGCAATTTTTCGACAACCTTAAAGGAGAAGAAAAGAGTATATCTTGCTAGGGTTTAGGAGAAAACTATTTTCTTCTTATTTTTCTCTCTTGGCCGTGTGCCTCTATTATTTTTTTAGGGCTGGCTAAAACTTTGCTCCCTTTATTTTTCTAGGCTGAATATTGCTTTATTATTTTCAAACTTGGCCGAATACTCTCTAGGTTCATCGGTCTCCTTTATGCCGCACCTCTCCTCCTATTTATAAGGGGAGAGTTTCCTTGTCCTCCAAGGTTAATGAGAAGGGCGGCATTAAGTTCCTTCTAGGACTCTAGATTGTTGCTTCTTTATCCTCCAAGGATGAGGAGTTATTTTTACATGTGGACTATTTGATTATTATCTTTAAAATATTTAATCTTATCCAATAAGTTTGATATTTATCTTTAAAACATTCAACCTTATTCAATAAGGTTGATATTTATCCTTTCATCAAAATATCTTAAGGCTTTTAATTAAACCTAATGGGTCAAAACTATTTTAGCGTAATTAATTTATTTGGACTATCCAAATAAATATTCTTAAATTATTTTGGCTTGGTCCATATTAAGAAACAATTTTCCAAAATACTCTTTTCGCCTAAATTAGGAAACTCCTTTCGTTTTAGGTTCTTTATTCCCAAATTTGAAACTAACTTCCAAATTAGGAAATCGATTTCTAAAATAGGAAACTTTCCAATCAAGAAAACTTTTCATTTTGGAAACCTTTTCTAAAACGAGAAAAAATTTCATACTTAAAAACTTTTTTCAATATCTTTGCTTCTCATTTATAATGTGAATACCTAAACTTATGCGTGTGACTCAATAGCTCCTAGATATGTTGGCAATGTATCAAGAACAAAAGACTCATGTCTTATCTCTTAATACATAAATCAAGATTGATCTCTAGCAAGACATTATGACTACTTAGGAGAACTAGTTAATTCATTATTACCTTTCACGAGCTTGGTTACTATACAATTCATTTCTCATGTCAATTTATCACAGTGTGATCTCGAATTTGGTTATTAGTCTTGTTCGATTATGATCACATAAGTTTTCTTCGATTCTTAAATATCTTAGCTCTTAGAGTAAATCAACTATACTCTATTGGTGTACTCCTACTATGACCACAAATTTCTCCGGTAGACATTTATCGAAGTGCAATATGATAACTCCTCTAGCATACAAGGAATGACATGTCCTATCTTAGTCATACACCTATCTTTATTGGATTCCTAGTGCACCCAACGAATCACCCACGTGCAACCCATTAATGGGTCCATCGAAATGAGTGTTAAAGTGCATAAGTCCTCCAATGAGATAACCGTGATAACTTCAAGTCTAAGAACCATTTATACCCATCTCGTATGAGATTCCCATAGACAAAAACCAAATGGGTTCTCATGGTGAGTCAAGTCCAGCGATATGTTCTCTAACATAAATCACCTAAATGCTTGCTTTGGCATCACCATGCCAATAGGTGTGAGATCTCCTATTGTTATTGTAACTCTTGTGAACTTGCTTAACGTAGCTATACATATGAAAATAATTTTATCTATATCTACTAAGTTGCAATTATGATTTTTGTGTCATGTTTGCGTTTGATGAGTTTAAGATGCTTGGATAAAAAAAAATTTAATTTCGATATACCAAAATTTAATTCTCGAGCACAAATATCTCTTGAAATATCCATGATTATGTAAGCATAAATTATGTGCCATTTCTTTTATATTTGTGGCATGAAAATATTTAAGGTTTATGAAATTATTCATAGGAATACTTTTTTTGGAATTTAATTAACCATTATTTATTTTTTCACAATGTATATTTAAAATGACCATGCAAATGAAAAATATATCCCACTTAAGAGTCATGGCCGAATTTTAGGAACCAAATAAGGTAAGGAAGTTGGTTAGTTTAGTTACCTTTTAGTTTCTCTCTTTAGTTAGTGATGTGACATAACATCTTCTATCATACTTCCATTTATACTTTCTCACTCAATTTTTGGAAAGTAAACACTCCAACTTACCTCTCTTTTTGTCTCCATCGATTGACTTCTTTTCACCACAAAATTTGGACACTTGGCATATTAAACATAAAAGAAATAAAAAAGAAAAGTGTGGTATCAAAATTGAATGAAAAGATGAAACTTTGCCATTCTTTTTAGCCAAAAATCATATCCTTCAAAGAGAGAAGAGAAAAACGTGATTTTGAGGGAAAGAAAGGAGGAAAAAAAAGGGAAGAAAGAAAGGAGAAAAAGAAAAGAAAGAAAGGAAGGAGAAAGAGAAGAAAAAGGCTAAGAAATCTTAACCAAACATACATCATTGTAAGTAGGTTTCATTTAGCTTTATTTATAACTTAAAAATTTAAATTTTTATGTTTATTTTATGAGTTTTTTTAAGCCATATAATATGTGATTATGATAGTTTATGTTGATGCTAAAAATTTGATGTTTGGCGATGGATTTATGATGTTTTGATGATGGACTTATTATGGATGTTGGATGTGCATTTCATGGTAAATTTTATGTTAGAATATGTAAGTATGCCATATATATGTATGATGACGGATGGTTATACAGGTGTGATGGGTTGGTTTGGTGATAACTACATGTGATGAAAAATGTGTTTTAAAAATTTGACAAGAAAAAAAATTAAAATTTTAGGGATGAAAAAATTCTGAACTTTGTGTGATTTATTTAGGGATCTTAGAGTATTTTTGGGTAAAATTCAAAGAATAAAAGTTGTTTATCTATGTGTCTTCTAGCTCTATAAAATTTCATGATTTTTAGATCTATATATAAAGAGTTATGGCTGATTTGGTATAGATTGTTTGGATGTACCACTACTGAAAATTGTCAAGTTTAGGGAGAGGGATTTTCGAAATTTAATTGAGAGAAATGAGTTTAGGTACCTAAACTTGGTTAGTTAGGGTGTTTAGTTAGCCTAAGTATTTAGTTAGACACCTAAGCCACCCTAATATAACCATATGGGTTTGGAAGATATGTGTGAATGAGCTTGGATTTAAAATAAAGTGGACTTGAAAATAAAACACATTGACTTGGTCTAAAACAACTTGGGCTTAGACTAAAATAAAAGGGATTTGGATTACAATCAATGGACTTGAGTTAAAATAAAATGGGCTTGGATTAAAATAAAATAGAATTGAATTATAATAAATGGAATTGGGCTTGGATTAAAATAAATGGGCTTGAACTAAAACAAAATGAGTTTGGATGAAAATAAATGGACTTGGATATCCTAAGAACACTTAGTAGACCTTGGCACTAAAATGATCAAGTTGGATTTATATTTATGGACCTAAAGATCTAGACTACCAAGGTAATCCACTTAAGTATAATTTAATACATTAAGATGAAAAGAAAGGACTTAAGAACAAAAGATAAACCTTTGCCCCTATTTGAACCATTCGGCCAAAAACCCTAGAACTCGAGTTTTGAACATCATTCACCCAAATTATGAATCAATGGTTTAAATATACTTAAGTAGGTATGAAATAAAGTGTAGAAAGGTTAGATCCTAAGAAAAATAGAAATTTAAATTTTATTAGGAGACGCTCGGTTTAAATCCGACTTTTAGAAATTGAGTTCCAAAACAGTTTCTTTGTATTGATATGGAATGTAATTCATGATACGTGAAATGGATTAACCCTATTAGACGAGTTTTGAATTCCTTGTGTGAATTCAATGGTATGAAATCGACGGGTTTAGTGCTCATGACTTAATGGAATGTGATTCATGATACATCATATGCATCATATGCTTATGGAAATGGATTAAATTAAGAAAAACTATTGAGTCAAAAACGATGAGGTTTGATAATCAAATCGGATGGAATTTGGATAGGTTTGGTAACCTATTGGATAAAAATAGGTATTAGCGATCCAAGCAATGTGCGTACTTTAAGGTGTGTGCTCGTATTGTTAGACGATGGATTCCCACTAACGATGGCTACAACGAGGGATAATTTTATTGTAGTAGAAGGTGATCTGCAGATCATCCGGATTAAAAATAGAGTAGACTTGCTAATACCCGGGGTCCCCGAAATTAAAATTGGATGAGTCTAAGTGGAAAAAGTCGAATATCATTGCATATCACGTGCATCACCCTACTTACCGAGCTTCGGCTCACTCGTGTTTATTTCATACCATGACGAGTAAAGGTGATACTAATGCCGATAATAAAGTCTGTCGGTTCCTCTCGGAAAAAGGCTCATGTATGACACAACAATTATAGGATCTACCTTTGCTTGTAAATTAAGTTTTGTAATTTTTGTAATGATATTCGGTATATTGTATATGTGCATGGGATTAAATTTGAGACTTCGATCTCTAAACCGTTGTGCACCCGACCATGCCTTTTAGGTAATCGGCAAGGGAGCTAGGGGCGCCACGAGCTATCATACGAGCATGAGCATAGCACTCACAAGCCTATCCGTATATTATAAATGCATATCATAATGACTTCTATCTAATTCTACCGAATTTATCAACATGTAAACATAAGAATTAATAGAATGACTTCTTTATTATTATTAAAATAAATAATGCAATAATACATTAACATGAGCTATTCAAATATGGTTAGATTTTGGACACCAACACTAACAAATACAATCAACATGTCGATAATGTAAATTTTTAATTTTTTTTCTAATTCAAGTATTTTTATTTAATTTATTTTGATATAACCATTAAATTAACACGTTAACATATTGAAATATCCAACACTCGATATGCACATTTTATTTTATTTATAATCGAGTATTTGTATTTTTTATTTAAATAAATGTATTTTTATTTTTATTTTTTTCCTTTGATTATCTATACTTTTAAATTTTTATTGATGAATATTATTAATTTTCAAACCTAATGAATAGTATAGATCATATTTTGACAAAGTTAACTATATATAAAAAAAAAATGAAATGTTAAGGGTCAATTCTTTGATCTTCAAAGATAATGAATAAAGATTACATTTATTTTAAAAAATAATAATTTGGAGTTCAATTAACCCAAATCGATAATAAAAGTTTGAAAATATCATTTGGAGTAATTTTTGCCATTAAAACAAAAAAAAAAAAATCGAAGGTATCTTATTGGTCCAATGGATTTGAAATCCTTATATTCGATTGAGAGATAACGAGGAGTTTGTGTAGCAAGGGTGCAATTAGGAAATCACACGTTCTACGCTAACACTCTAATCATATGGTCAACTCAAGATAAGGTCCTTCTTCCTCAGCCCCAAAAATCTATAGTTAGTATTTTATGAGAAAACCTTTCCTTTGCACTTAATTGGAGAGGAGGATCATAAATTTTGCAGCTTGAAAGTATATCTTCCAAACAACATATAGACCCTTGACCTTTGACCATATTGAGAAATAATAAACGGAAGGTTTTGTCCATTGTATGGTCATCTATTATTCAAATTATTTTGGTTAAGATATATATATCATATATATATATAATTCAAAGAGTACAAAACTTCAACTAAAATAATTCAAAAAGTATAAGTTTCATAATTTTTTTAAATTTTCATATTTTTTAAACCTCATAATAAATGCATCAAATGTGTCATATAAAGACTCCCCATAGAAAACTCTAAAATATATATTTTTTTATTGCTATAATAATTTAAACATAATAAAATAATAAGTAAAAAAACATAATATGTAATTATTAAAACAAAAATTATAATGATTTATAATATCGATTGGTCACAAACTCCTAGTTAATGGTCTATTTTTTCATAAAAAATAAGAAAATTTGAATATTTGACCAATTCAAAGTAAAAAAAAAAAAGGATTGCTTTCTCAAATAATAATAATAATAATAATAATAATAATAAACTTGAAACTGCACCATATTTTCTTATTTGATATAAATAATTAGTTACAAGTCAACATTCTCATTGTTTTTATTCTAATTTTGAAGAATATATTTGTATTTTATTTTTTTAATTGCATGTTATATTCTTTTTACATTTTTTATATTTTTAAATTATTATAATAATTAAAAAAAAAAACTCTTTAGGATGGGGTCTCACATATGACACATTTTGGTGTATTCAAGATGATGTGTCAAAACACAACAACATGAAAATTAAAAAAGAAAAAATATTTGATCCGTGTATTTTTTAAATTGTTTTGATTGAGTCTTTCTATTGAATATCACATGTGTACGTTTCATGTTTTTAGGATCGGTCATACCATATTAGCATCATGTCAGTTTATAACTAATCGTATGACAATAGAAGAATGAAAACAAAAGAAAATGAAGAATAAAAGAATTCAATTAATATGAAAAAGAATATATGATTTTAATTAAAACAATTTGAAGAGAAGATAAATCATATGAAGGCAAAATCTAATAAATAAAGAGGAAAACTTTAAAAATGTTGTGAGCTATTGGATGGGTATCTAATAATAGGTTCTACCTCTACGAATATAATGGCTGACATGTATTCTTAAATTGTAAAACATTGCTTATCCTAATAATAGTCACCTTTGTCAGTAGCCAACCAGTTGTTTGTAGAAATTCAAAATTTGGCCAAGAAAGAAATAACTCACTAAAAAACGAGAATTAGTCCGTCAATATTTCCTCTTCATGCGCTAGCGCATATATATATATATATATATATATATATATATATATATATATATATATATATAATTTACCAAGAACCTTGAAAGAGGAAAAAAGAGAGAAATTGGTTTCCTTAGTGCGTAGAGATCCTGAGAGGGCACATATAGAACTCCATAAAACTTGGTAGTCTAGAGCCACAACCTAATTACTAATATATGGCTACCATAACCCACTGTATATCCTTCTCAGCGGTCTTTCTTGCCACGATCACCATCCTCTGTGCCGGCCAAGTCACCGCATCTGACTTTTGTAAAGGTGCAAGTTACAAACCGCTTTGCAGGTCACTTGCAAAGGGATTTTCCAATGCAGAAGAAGCTACCAAAGCCAGCATCAACAATCTTATCGTCCAAACATACCGTGCAAGGGCTAGCGCTAGTAGGCTTGGGAAAGATCAGAAAGCCCAAACCTGTGTCGAGAATTATGATGATGCCATTGATAGCCTAAAAAAATCTTTAAAATTCCTTCAGGCACGCGACAAGGGCAGTGTACGGACCTTCATCTCTGCGTCAATTTCTGCTTATTCGACTTGTACTGATGCTTACGAAGAGTTTGGTGTTCATTGTCCTTTCAGCCGCAGCAATACACTCATGGAACATACTGCCTCTAGCTGCTTGTCAATCTATAGCAACGTTCGCTGAAGGAATTAATATATTTATCAATGTGTGCTGGGATATATGTGGCTTGTTTGTGTTGAAGAGCTTCCGACTTGTGTGATATGAAGGGAACTACTAACTCTTATTTTGTTTGCTGGATAATTAAGAATGTGATTTTTCAGTTTTGAAAATTAAATATATAGGCTGTGCAATATGGAAAATATTTCATATATTGCTGGGTTTTGAAGGTGAAAAATGCCTTATTTCAATCCTTCTAGTGGCCAAACTTTGTTCCATTAGTAAAGGTAGTAAAAGGGATTGTTTGGTATAATTTTCATTTTCTAGTTCTGTTTTTGTTTTCAGTTTTTAGATTGAAAACTTATTTGGTATGTTAGTTTTTTATATATATATATATATATATATATATATATAATGCATTTAGTTTCAATTAAATACTGAAGTTATAATTAGAACATGATCCCAGGTTATCCAGACTCGATTTTTAGACTCCTCAAGTTTGGTCTTGGCCATAACCATGACCCAAACGTGGTCTTAGTCCAAACCCGATCCTATCCCAACAACTAAGTGCCCTGGATCTCGTCTGGACCTGCACAAAAATGCTACGGCACCATTCTTGATTTGCACTTGTGGTGTTCCTGCACCAGTCCTAGATCGCATCTCAAGCATGCTGAATTTGATCCTGAATTGACCCTAAGGAGTCTAGGACCTGATTCCAACTCAAACCCTCTAGAGCCTTGGATCTTGTCTCGGCCTGATCCCCTAGGTGTCTTGGATCCAATTCTGGCCTGAACCTCGAGATTCAAGGACCTAGACACCCCAAACACGATCCCAATCGAACCTCTAGATGCTCCGGATATGGTCTTGACCCGATCCTATGGCACCCCAGACCCAAACTTGGATTGTCCTCCGAGCTCCTTGGGCCTAATCCTAGATCGTCCTCCAAGCACCATTGACCCATTCCTACTCAACACTCAGGCGTATTGGACCTTAAACGCTCTAGACATGGTTGTAAACCAACTCTCGAATGTCTTAGATTAGGTCCTAGATCGACTTAAAGCCGTCTTGAACTTGGTCCCGGATGGAAGTCTGAACGCTATATACAAGGTCCCAAATCGAACCTTATCCTAGTCTAAATCTCAAGAGCCTTAGATCGGATCCCAATCTGAATTACAAGCTCTTTGAACTAAGTTTCGGTCCAAACTCCGAACATGATCCCTCTTCATTTCTTGACTTTCGAGCATGACTCGACTCTTAAAATATATAATGATACTTTAAAAGATTATTTTCGAAAATCATTTTTTTCCCTAAAAATTTTCAAAACATGTTACCATTTTTTTTTTTTTGAAAAGAAAAACAAAAAAACTAACAATTTCTCATATCTTTTATTTTAAAAAAATTTGAAAACAAAAGTAGAAAACATAAAAATTTTATCTCATTTTTTCAGGTTTTTTTATCTTGGTAATAGAAAACATAAGTAAATTACAAATTGGTTCCTTCGGTTTCCAAAAACAAATTAATTAATTTTTTTTGTTTTAAAAACTAATTATTCAGTCTCTTTATGCATGTTGATCACGTTTAATTTAATATTAATGTATTAAATATATATATATATATATATATATATATATATATATATATATATATATATAATTTCTTTTCTTATCGATCTTTCTATAGTATTTGTTTATTTTTTTAAAATAAAAGCTAAAATAAATTATAAAAGATATAAAATAGATAAAAAATAATAATTAATTTATTAAAAAATAAAAAAACTAATTAATTTGTTTCTCAAAACTAGAGGAATAAATTTAATATTTGCTATAGAAAATAGGGAGTGCATGTTGTGTAAGATTGTAGTTTTTTCCGATCCAAATGGGATCTAGCGCATATGCTGTTTCCGTGGTGAATACGTACTTGGGGAAATTAGTAAAGAAATGGATTAGAAAATAAAGTATATTTTAAAAATGTGGCAGATTGATATTTGGTCGCACCAAAATACATGCCACATAATTAATTATATACGTCTTTCTGGGGAAAGTTGTTCATATATATAGTGGTATTAATTTGCAAATTCACACCACGATCAGCATAAGAGTTCATCCCTTTAGTTTATGTTGGATTAAAAGTCTGTTTGACATGATTGTTAAATTATGAATTTTGAGTTTGAGTTATAATTTAAATTTTGTTTTTTTACAAATAAATTAAAATAAAAATGAGGTAAATTAACTTTAAGTTAGATGTATGCTTGAGAGAAAAAAGAGTTAGATTTCGTAAATAAAAAGTTGAAATTTTCAATTTTCGATTAAAATAAAAATTTGGTTAAATTTTGTAACAAACTTTTTTCTAACCTAACATATTTGTATTTTTTTTAATTAAAAGTTAAAAAATAATTTAAATCAGTTTATAAAAATCAGTCTAAACATAACTTGTGTGTTTAAGAGCGATGGCAGATTCTTGAGGAGACAGGGAAGCCCTTGTGATTTTTATCTTTTTGAACTGATATATACATTTAACTCCTTCTATTTTCAAAAAATTCAGTTCAATCCCTGTATCTTAAAAATTATTTTCAAAAGGAGCTTTGGTTTCAAATTTTTCTTCTTTTTCAAAATTAAGAATCGCTCTACACCCATTTCATACGTTATCATCTTCATAAGACAAAATAATGTTTTTAAGGGGTCGATGGGTCCTACATAATGCATTCTCAACCGTTCAGCGATAACCACTCTTTTTATTTTTTTATTTTTTATTTTTTTCCATTTTTTTATGGATGCAATCAAGTGTCATAAGAATTGACATCGGAGGAGGATCGGCACAGATCTTGGCAATATAGCCAACGACAATTAAGTCCATGTCTCTGTCTTTTGATTTCTTCTTATGTTCCGCCTCAAAACTTAAAAGAGAAGCCAATATAATAACACACTTTTTTACGGTCAGAAAATAATATAAATTTTTTTTAAGGTGTAATTCAATCATTTAAATTTTTAAATTGAAATTGTTATTTGTACAATATTAGAGTTTTTTCTAACTAAATTATCACGAATTTAAATTTTATCATCATTTATTCTCTCTAATCACATTAAAAATATAAAATAAGATATTAGTAGGATTGTAAAAATTTTAAATTCAAATATTTTTCAGTTGAAAGTATGTGTTGAAAAATAATATAAAAACTATTTTTAAAACCTAGAGTTTATATTTTTGAATTAAAATGATTTTTTTAATATAATATCTATCATATCTTATAGTCCCTTGTAAATTTCAAATCTAACGAGACTTTTACTTGATGAAGTGCATTAGATAATAATAAAAAATCATTTCTAAAGCTAAATCCTAATTGATGTAGTGCATTAGATAATAATTAAAAAAATCATTTCTAAAGCTAAATCCCAATAGTTATCGGCTCTAATAATTTTTTTAAAAAAAAATTGTTAGAACATTAACTTACTAATTATTATTTTAGATTATAGATTTCTAGTCACTAATAATTTTTTTTTTTTTTTTTTGAGTTACTAATGCAAGTGAACCGTACAAATTATTTCAATTTAGTGCATCTACTGGCGCATAATTTTTATAATTTCATCACATATTATCCAAATAAAAAATTAAATGGTTTTGCTACACTTTTTCTTCATATAAAAATTTCAATATACATTAAATGAGAAAATAGTAAATATATCACATAAGGAACCACTTATTATTGTTAAAAATATCTTATTGTCAAAAATATCTTATTTCGCGGACATTTAAGAGAGGCTAATCTATAATTCATCAAGGATATAATTGAATAGTTATCATATAACTATAGGGATCAAAATGAAATTTGCCCCCATCTCGCCTCCATACCTCGGTTCATAACTTTGAGGTGTTGTTTGATAATGAGGAATAGAGTTGTAGGAATGAAAATGAATGTTTTATTTTCATATCGTAATTGTTTGGTTAAAATGAATGAAACGAGAACGAGAATAAAGAGTGAGAATGAAAATAAAAATTTACACGTGACTTCATTTTCATATAAGATGGGAGAATAAAAATAAGGAATGAGAATAAATTTTTTAAAAAAATAATAATATATTTTATTTATTTATCGTCTATTAACTACTTTTGTCATCGCCATCACCACTATCGCAACCACCACCATCACGACAATAAACACCGTTAACACCATCACTTTTATTGTTTTTATAACATTATAGTTTGATAAAATTATTTTTTTATTTATATAAAAAATTAGATATTAAAAAATTTAAATTACACTTCGATTCCTCATTCGTATTCCAAACACGGTATGAGAATATAAATATCATTCGATTTCGTATTTTTATTCTAAATTTTATTTCGATAACTAAACGATACATGAATGTAAAACTTCATTTCTTTTATTATCACCACCGGCACTTCCTAAGGTTTCACTTGGTTGTGGCCTTTTCATTTACCAAATCACTACCAAAACCATCCATATAACAAACTCAACAATAAAATATCCTGAAAAATCAATGTGGACACAGTAATTAACAGTTCAAAGTTTCAAGCTTAGACGTTCAATGGCTCTTGGATCCTTTTAGCTTTTGATAAAGAAAGCATCCATCATAATTCTTTTGAAGATATTATTTTTTGAGAATGGTGGCCAGATTCCAATAGGCCAATCCCTGCTCTTTCAATTTCCCCCTCCTCTTTTATGATTGGTTGAAACTGATTTAGAAAAATCAGAGACATAACTTCAAATGAAAAAAAAAAAAAAAGGTTTCAAACGTGAAAATGAACTTTCCAACTTCAAAGTCGATACATGAATCTAATGGCTACGTATTTTAAATGAATGTTAACATTAAATCTTGTAATTATTATAGAGCTTAGAGCACTACAGTTCTAAAGCTTGGTGCGTCGCACTTGATCTTCTTTTCCCGCAACTGTCATCCAAACCTTTTTTTAATGGTTCGGATTAACGGCTAAAAACATGCATCAGGCATCAGTCACCCAAAAGCAAGAAAAGAAATCTCGACAATTTCTCGTGGGGATATTATTCATTCAGGTCTTATCGTGTAACCAAAAAGGATGAATATGACAGCAGCATACAGCTAAGCCAGTAGGAAGTACAGAATTGCTTGCGTAGTTGGGTGAGTTTCTTGCCCGATTATAAGCCATCGATTGGTTCAGGTTGTCCATGGACACATCAACTTTCCTTAACTTGTCTTCTAGTTTCTGTGTCCTTCCTTTCAAAAGCGATAGATTTTCAAAGATGCGTTTCGTTGGATTCAGATTTTTCAGGTTTTCTTATAAACATCACCTATCACGTTTTTTAAATCAAAACCATAAATTTTAAATTAAACGAATATTGTTTAATACAAAATAAAAATAATAATACGTAATTTACTATTGTTTTATTTTTTTATCTGATTTAAATTATTAAATTAAAAATAAATAGTTAGGTTTAAAATATAATGATCATATTTAAAAAATAAAAATCATATCAAGATACAAATCTACATTTCGTTGTCAAATTTTGTTCCACTTGCAAATAAATTAAACTTGGTGGAGATGAAAATATATCTCAGATATTTAAGACCGACTTACTTTTTTTTGTTTTTTCCTTCCATATTTCCTCTAATAAAATACTAGATATTATCATGAAAAAAGATATTAAAATACATCTATAAAGAACTCAGCATGAATCTACTGTTTCTTGGATCCATCAATGAGTACAAAATGGAGTGCATCTTAAATCTCAACGGGGAAGATTTAATTAATGTCATTGCTTTGATATGGTGCAAATTGACCAAATTGTATACTGCCCCAAAAGCACATTTTTGTTTTTTTAGACTTTAATACCCTTATTAGTATTTTAAATAGACTAAAATGCCCTTACTTTTATCAATAATAACACAATCACTTTACATTTTAACCCATGGTTTTAAATGTAGTTTTCTTTTCTATAATTGAGAGGTTTTATTATCAAAATGCGCCGAGTAGGAGCTTATCTTACTATATAAGCATACAAACAAGAAATGCTTAGTATTAAAAACTAATTAGAAAAAGCAAATAGCCAAACAATCACAAGTCACAATAATTCCATCTGGCTTGAAAAAAATAGAGTACTTAGGATTGATAATAGCTTCCTGTAGTATCTTAATCTTACATGGACAATATTGGACAGATTGCATGATCTACTTAGACTAGAAAAGAACTGTCTGACCTCATTGCTATAAACTTTTTGGTTTCTTTCGAGCTAGACGTAATAAATGCAATTGCACCAAGTCAGTCTCAAAACAACTGACTCAAAAATTAATAATTATTATAAAATAATTAAAAATTGAAAAAAATTCTTTACATATGGTTTTAAAAAATTTATTCAATAATAATTATTATAAATTCATTAGAAATTAAAAAATTCAGATTATTTTAAAAATTTTCTTTTTGAATTTTTTGAATTTTTAATGTTTTTATAATAATTAATAATTATTTTATTTTAAAAAATAGAAAAAATGAGTTTAAAAGAAAATTATATTTGTACTCTTAGGTTTACATGTTTCATCACTTGATTGATTAGATGTTAGTCAACTAACGAAAATTAATCAATATGACGAAAAAAGTTAAAGGATAAGTTGTTTTGCACTAACATCTAATAATATAAAGATATGTCATAAACTATATCCGAATAGAGAGATTGTAACTATATTTTCGATATAGTACAAGAGCATGAGGCGTAATTAATCTTTTAACTATCAATAGGTTAAAATAACTCTAAATATGCATAAAATTAGCCTAATAGTTTATGTGTTACTTATTAGTTCATTTCAAGCTTTCAGCTTTTATAGCTTTAATTTCCTCCATTAATGAACAAGTGTGTGATCTAGTGCAAGTAAGCTTGTTGCATTTTCAAGAAGATCATGACTTTCAATTCCCTTTGTGGAATATTTGAGTTTAAAAAGTACTAAAAAAAGAAGAAGGTTAAATTAGCCACGGTAATTTCTTAATTGTCCAACCATGATGCTTGGATGGTAAGGTCATATTTATAAAAAGAAAAAATATCCTCTATTATAATTAATTAAATAAAAAGTCTTTTTGTTTTTGTTTTTTGTTTTTTTACTCCAAGAGATTGGTTTGATGGTTTGCTTTGTTTTTTAACTTTTTAAATTCATAATTTAAAGCCAAACCGATATAAATTGTACTTCTTTAAAATTATTTTAAAAGACATTTAGGTGGTGTTTGATAAAACTAAAAAGTAAGTGCTTGAATCCGTTAAGTACTTGGATTTTAAGTGCTTGAATAATTAACTACCGAATGTATTGCTAACAAGCTATTTGATATTTATCAAAAATTAAATGCCGAATATAATAAGATTGTTTGATAAGTACTATTGCTTGCACATATTAAGAGTATATATATAAATGTATGTAAATAAATAAATAAAAATTCATCTTGCTTAAATGCATACATATCTCGTGACACAAACGAGATGTGTTCTTGGTGGGGAAATAATCAAGCCAAAGGCCGTAGCATTGTTTCCTTTGACATGAGCATTGAGGTGTTTTTTGATACGTTTGTCCATGATGCTTTTTTTTTTTAATCCTTTTTCTAATTTTTTTCAACCTTTGGTGTGGATTTACTCATGCTATGTGGTTCCACTCGCTATGATTGTCTATGGTAAAAAGAGATGATTACCAAAGTGTTTTGATATATGGGTGTTGCTTCAAATGGTGTTAAGGAATCATGGACTAAATTATTATTATTACTATTATTTTGGTGAGACAAATTTACATCTAGTAGTCAAAAGAACACAAAATTCTTGAAATATCCTACGTTCGTATTTCAAATATATCAAATTCAAATTTAACTAGCTTGTTTCGGATTAGCCATTATACTCTTGAAGGTGACTTCCTCACTCAACAATGGCCGAGCAAACTCTAGGATTGGTCGGTTCACCAAGCCGAAAACACATACAAGTATCAAAACTTCGATCTCTAGCTTGTCAATTCACCAAGCCGGACTAGAATCCCAAATTACAAGCTTTCATCCCACAAAACCCCTTCTTAGCACCCCTTTGTAGTAATTTAAAGCTCAATAAAAAAATTTTCATTTGATTATGCCGAGGCGGATTGGATTGAACTTTGGATCTCGCTTTTAATGACTCTATTTGGAATATCAATTGTTAAGGCATTTATCTTTACAACAAATAGCTCCTTGGGAAGTCCCTTCGTTCCTTTGATTTGTATATATGCAATCCACGGCGACTAAAGAGCTCCTTGAAGTATGTATCGGACCTAGTGATGCTTCGATCTTCTTTGTCCAACACAAATCCACTAGGTTTTAGGCTAATCTTAGCCCTCTTAAAAAATGACACAAAGTCATTATTTGTAAGATGCCCAATACACCATTGAACCTAGATAACATCATATCTTCTACATCTAGTGTGAACTCCCGAAGTGGGACACAATAAAAATTAATAGCCTTATGCTTATTCGATGCCATATGATTTTCTTAGACTAAGTTTTCATGGGCAACATCAAGGAAATGTGACACTCGGTTTAAGAAGATCGACCTTATTGAAACACATCATTGAAAACTATATGGCTATTGTTGTGTAGTGCTCGTGGACTTTAGTGAGATTGTAGAGAATTGGAATTTGGAGGGAAGGAGGGACTAAATTAATATCCATTGAACTACTTATAGGAATTAAACAACATTTAAGATTCCGGAAGAACGATGTGTTATTTATGGAAATGAATAAGGGGCGGCTAACCTTGTACGATCCTCGTTACTCAAGAATTGAAGAAGCTTCAAGTTGATGGGGAGGCCGGATTCTTAGCAATTGCGCTTTGCAAGGAGACACGAGTTTCAATTAATCATGAGAAGAAATAAAAGCGAGATCCGAGTTAATAATTAGTTTTAACATTTTCCTTTGTTTCGGTAATGGGATAGTAGAAATGTTTCTAATTGATTTGTACAGACTAGATTTATAGGAATGTATGAGGGCCATATAGTTATTTAAAAAAATTTTTCAACCGAGCATATTAATAAAAAAATTTTAAGTTAAAAATTTTAACTTAACTAATTAAATAGATTTTGATCTGAATTTAAATTTTAAATATGAAATTATTTAGATTATTAAAATTTTTTTATATTAAATACTATAATTTAATTTTTTAAATTACTTAAATAGATTACAAAACATACTCTTAGTCTAAGTTTATTTGCAAGATAGCTTAAGAATACCTTTACCCACCGAAAAAAAAAAGAAAAAAAATACAATCGTGAGGGTAGAAAACTGTAAATTTTGAAAATCGCAACGCAGCGAGGGGCAATCAAGTAATACAAAAAGAAAAAACTAGTAGAAATATCAAAAGCTACCGGTGGCGGTGGTCACGGACCCCATACTTGCGTCCCCATATCTCTTGCTATCACTGTGGCACGTGACAAACTCCCAATCCCGAGCTTTTAAGCAACGTGGACGTATAAAAACGGGCCACGCAATCTGATCAAATTGCCATAGCACTTGCATGGTTTGCACTTCACTGAATCTGTGGAAGAATCCAAGCAGTCCCAGTTCTCTCTTGCATCCAAAAATTTCCTTAAAAAAAAAAAAAGAAAAGAAAAGAAAAAATAACAGTCTCAATTCTCTGTTCTTGCCTTAAATTAATTAAAGGTAAATTCAATGTCTGCATTTCTTTCGTTTTGAAGAAGGAGAAGAAATTTGATGAATTTCTCATTTAACGTCATGGAATTCTTAGTGTTTATTTTAGAAATTTTGAAAAAAAAGAGGGAAATGTGCTGAATCATCTGCGAATAAATGAAATGATGAATCTTGTTAGTTAGGCTCAATCTAATTCTGATTGTATTCTACTATTTTACCTTTAAGCAATCTGTTTTTTTTTTTTTTTTTATCCAGTTACTGGGTTGGGGAGGGATTCTTGGAATCCTTGAAGGTTAAGAAGAGAATCAAATTTGGAAGAATAATTATAATATGAGTAATAGCATAGGGCATCATAATCTATTTCACAATCAGAGCTTGCTTCGTCCAACGGCTTTAGAGCATCAAAGCAAACTCAATTCTTCAGGCATTCCTGCAAATTCTTTGTTTCAATCTGTGTCCGGGAATCAAGCTGCACGTAGGTCATCCACCTTTTATGGCAACAGTTTAAAAGTCAGGAAATCAAAATTAGGCATTGCAGGAGTACGCCGCTCCGTTCTATTCACTCCTAGAGCTGTCTTAGCCATGGATCCACCTTCTGAGGTAATTTCTTATGCTAGTCTAGCTTCCACCTTATAATAATGCTATATGTAATCAATTTACAGCTATTTTGTGTTTCTAAATTCAAATTGGTTTTGAATAGAATCTTATGTTTATATTGACTGAAATTTGTGTAAAACTTCACTTCGAAAAATTTTTCATTATGGTTTCGGTTTTTGTCTGAATGTTAACAAACTCTTTCCTTGCAGCAGCTTGCAGGAAAATTCAACCTTGATGGAAATATTGAAATGCAGGTAGTTTTAGTTAACCGTGGATGATTGACCATGGCTTCAATTACTGGAGCCAAGTTTTGGTTATTATTGGTCATTGTAGGTGTGATGTAGATTCTTTCTTCACACTGAGCAGGTTTATGTCAGCAATTCCTCCACTGCATCCACCGCACAAGTAAATATTCAGATCACTTATAGTAGTGATTCTTTGCTCCTACATTGGGGTGCAATACGCGATAGAAAGGAGTAAGTCTGCTGTACTTTCATTTGGCTATATTTATTTATGCTTTGTTTTCATTTTTGTTAATGTCATTATAGTTTCAGATGTCTTTCTTTCTTATGTTGGTTTTCTTTTGTGTCAGAAAGTGGGTGCTTCCTTCTTGTCAGCCAGATGGAACAAAAAATCATAAGAACAGAGCCCTAAGATCTCCTTTTATAAAGGTAAGAGGGGAAAAAAATAAAAAAACCGATATTCTTTGTCTTTCATTCGACTGAAAAAGGTTTGGCTGATGTAAATAATTAATTTTAGCTGATTTATATTTGTTTTTGTCTTAGTCTGGTTCCAATTCTTACATCAACATAGTGATTGATGATCCTGCAATACAAGCAATAGAGTTTCTTATAGTTGATGAATCCAAGAATAAGTGGTGAGTTTCTACAATATTTCTCGTTCTAGCTCCCTGTATGTTGTTGAGCTCATTACAAGGTGTATGATATTCTTTCTTTTTGTTACCTCTCTTAATTTGGCAGGTTTAAGAATAATGGCCAGAACTTTCATGTTAAGTTGCCCATGAGAGAGAAGTTGACAATTTCTAATGTCTCAGTTCCTGAAGAACTTGTGCAGATTCAAGCATATCTAAGGTGGGAAAGAAAGGGTAAACAAATGTATACCCCAGAGCAAGAGAAGGCAAGTATTAAGCATTGTTTAATTGTAGAGACAAACTATTTGTACTGATTTAAAGTATTGTAATTTTGCATTTGTACTTCCCTTTTTTTTTCTTTTTAAAGTAAGGTAGCACCTGTGTCATGGTTTTTCCCTTTGTACATGCAATTCTCCATAACCCCTTTTGATAAAACCGTGCAGATAGTTTTCGCTTGGTTCTGCATTTATCTCTTTCTCACTTATCCTTGTTTTCTTGTCTCAACTGTGTTTTATGATACGAAATCCATCCAACCTATCACAATGATCTCCCTCTCTTGCTAGTACAGTACAGTATACTTTTGGTAAGAGATCGGGGTGAGGAAGAAATTATATGCTTCAACAGTAAATGACATGGAGAGGGGTAATTTGTTACAAACTATTTGATGAGGAATGGTGTACAGTATTAATCCGATCATCTACTGGTCCATTGCCAAAAGGCCCTATTCATTGAAGTGAGGTTTCGGGCTTGAGAATTTAGAGACTGTCCTAGCCTTTATTGTTTTTTCATAAAGCGTTCGCCGTCAAGAGTTGAACTTTATGCTAGTGCTAGCAAGCCCAAGATTTCTACCATTGCTTTAAGAAATAGCCTTCTCTTGGTTAAAGTTTAATTCTACGGTTTTAATGTTTCAAGCATTTTGTCTTACTTTTATTGGAGAAATTTTCTCTGTCATAGGAGGAATATGAAGCTGCTCGCTTTGAGCTATTGGAGGAAGTAGCCAGAGGCACTTCCATTGAGGATCTCCGAGCAAAGCTAACAAAAAAAAATGTTGGAAGTGAAATTAAGGAGCCATTGGTCTCTCAAACAAAAAACAACATACCTGATGATGTTGTGCAAATACAAGCTTATGTCAGATGGGAAAAGGCAGGGAAACCCAATTATTCTCCGGAGCAGCAACTGGTAAATTTCCTTTCTTTTCTTGGTCGGTAAGTTTCTATAATGTTTTACTTTGAGTTGCTTCTGCTGGAGTAAGCTGACCCCAATTTGATGAGATTGTCCCTAATTACTTGTATGTGATATTTATTGGTATCATGTTTCCATGAATATAGAGGGAATTTGAGATAGCAAGAGAAGAGTTGCAAACTGAACTGGACAAGGGTGTCACTGTTGATGAGATTCGGAAGAAGATTGCTAAAGGCGAAATCCAGAGTAAGGTGTCAAAGCAACTTCAAACCAAAAGGTATTTTATATCTGAAAGAATTCAGCGCAAAAAGAGGGACTTAACGCAGCTTGTCAACAAACATGCTGCCAAATCTGTGGAGGAAAAAGCTTCAGTAGAATCAAAAGTCTTGAAGGCTGTTGAGCTTTTTGCTAAGGAAAAGGAAGAACAGGATGGTGGTGCTGTGCTGAACAAAAAAATCTTTAAGATTGCTGATAAGCAACTTCTGGTAAGGGATGTGCTAATCATCTTTGTACCCCGCTCCATCAATTACAGTTTTTCACTTGATGAAACTCTTCTCAACTTTAAAAACTCCATACATTGTCAAGGTACTTGTAACCAAGCCTGGTGGTAAGATGAAGGTTCATTTGGCCACTGATTTGGAAGAGCCAGTTACTCTTCACTGGGCTTTATCTAAAAAGGCTGGAGAGTGGTTGGTAAGGTTCTTCAACTTTTAACTTTAGACACATTACTCAAGATGTTATAGGCCTTTGGAATAAATATCACTGTCTTCATCTTCTATAAGCTGTAGCCAGTTTCTCCATTACTTGTTCAGATGTAATGCATGCATGCATGATTTTTGCAGGAGCCACCTCCAAATGTGTTGCCTCCTGATTCAGTTAATCTCAAGGAGGCTGCCGAAACACAGCTTAAAAATGAATCCTCTACTGAATTTTCTTACCAGGTGGGCATGTTAAATTTCTTATATCTTCCTTTGTCCTATAGGGCTTTGAAATCTAACAATGCTTTCAATTCTACAATCTACCTTTTAACAGGTGCAATCTTTTGAAATAGAGATTGAAGAAGATATTTTCGTAGGCATGCCATTTGTCCTTTTGTCAAATGGAAGATGGATAAAGAATAATGGCTCAGACTTTTATATTGAATTTGACAGAAGATCTAAGCATGTCCAAAAGGTTGTCCTCATTTTCGTATTCCACTTTTACTCTGCTGTGTTTCTTTCATCATTTTTTTTGGATTAACTAACTGGAATTTTCTCTACAAAGGATGCTGGTGATGGCACAGGTACTGCCAAGGCATTGTTGGATAAAATTGCACAAATGGAGAGTGAGGCACAGAAGTCTTTCATGCACAGGTCAGTAAAATGTTCATGTTTTTTTTTTATTATTATTTTTAACTTCCGAGTGTTTTATGTGGAGAAAATTTTATTCCTCTTGTTGCAACAATCTTTAGGAAAAGTGCTAGTTATTTTCAGCACAGCACACAACACCTTTCAAAATGCTCATCATTTTTCTTTATATAGCTTGCATGTGTTCTGCGCATACTCTAGTTTAGTTTAGTGTTCTCTGTTTAGACGTGGGGATGAGTAATTGGTTAGCGGTCCCCAGTATCTCTGTTAATTCAAAATCAGGTGAGGATGCTGATAACTGCTGCTTAGATTCTTTCCAACTGGGAAGCCAATTGAAATTGTAGGAATAATGTGGCATAGAGTTTGTTTCCATTCTATGCTATGACCTTTTTGGTGTTAGAGAAACAGCCGTAGATTTCAGGACATAGAACTCTAAGCTTGTTTTGTCTGCTTTGTGGTTAGTGGGATGTTTCCTATGTGTTTGTGCTTCTATTTAATTTTCTGCCCTTATTATTTCAAATTTTCACTTAAAGGAGACTCGTTATTTCGAATTTTTTGCCCTTTTCTATCTTACTTAATAATCAGGGCCCACTAAATTGCTTCTTTGAACATAAAGGGAAAAACATTTTTAAAAAGGAATTTGCCGACCTCTGGTAGGAAATTTGATGGCAGGGTTAGAATTGAAACAATTGGGAACATTAAAGTTTGACTTCACACTTTTTAATGGATAGGGGGTCAAAGTGGAGCATTTTTTAAACTGTGTGTGTGTTTGTATTTGTTGGGGATGCTGGAAAGCTTCAATATGATTGTGGTTTGTAGTTTTGAGTGTGAGTAACTTGGCAGATTACTATAAGAGACCCAATGGTATGAGCAAAATATTACATGTCTGGTGCTCAAGCGGAAGTGAAAATAATCAGACCACCGAATCATTAGCGTGTCATCAAACCATTCAAAGATAATAAAATAGTGTTGAATATCTTAGAGATGCAAGTTACATATTTTCATTCAGAATTACTGAATTCATATAGCTGTGTGTGTAAGTGTCTTAGAGAACATTTGTGATGGAAATCCTGCTCAACTACAGGTAGTGAATTAGGAAATCACTGAGGCTTTTTGGTTCAGCGGTGGCTTTAGGTGTGTTTGGTTGTTAGCTGTGGCTGTGATTATAATTAGTGCTTCAACATATGTGCATGTGGTTTTATTTTAAATATTGCTAAACAGCCCCCAAAGCTTCATTTTATAGCTTCTAGCTTTGGCATAAGGCTGTGCAAACAGCTTTTGAGGCTTTGCCCAACACTTGTAGAAAAGATTGCAGTGAAAGGATCGCATATGCTTACAATTTTTTGTTATGAATTATGAAATAACAGAACGGTTTATTGTAATTATTATCCCAGCTGATTTTGTCAAGACGGCAACATGGACTACTACCATGTTTCTTTTACGTCTTAAGAACATATTTTTTCTTGAAAATAATATCGTCACTAATAATAGATTTCTTATAATGTTTAGAATTGCTATCATTGTATTTCAATTTTAATTGAAAAAAAAAAAAATCCCAATGAAAATTATTTGGTCCCTCCATACTATTATGGAGTGGGATTAACACACAAGGGATTAGGAATAAAGCTGGGCTATATGCACCTTGATATTTTGCGAATTAAAAAAATTTATAATGTTATTATGTCTTTAAAACAAGTAAAGGGCTTCTGTCTCATAAAGCATGCCACCCTTACCTTTTCAATTGGTATAAAAAATGACTTATTAGTTGAATCACATTCCACTCCATTAAGTTAAGCAATGGAACACACTGTTCCTCTTAACTCATTGCACTTTAATAATTAACTTGCTTTTCTAAATGCTTAATACATTGTGCAAGTTTATCCCAATGGATCATGGAATGATTACTTGCAGAATCAATGTGAACCAGATCTAAACTTTTGGTTCTTAGATCTTTGCTTGCATCATATTAATACCAAAGACACACAGAGGAAAAGAAAGTGACAATGCTGTGTTGTTTTGTTCTTCAATAATTTACAGTTCCATGAAATTTAATGCGTGTCATTTTTCTATTTTTTACTCAAAATTTTAGTCATAGGGCCTTGCTAATTATGTGATAATGAAGAAACGGCCATGAAGCCCTGTTTGTTCCCACCTTCCCTTTTTGTCTCCTTATTTACACAACAATTGAACATGGGGTAGTGGACTTGGGCATCCATAAGAAAGTTTTTCTTATTTTAGCTTCTTATTCATGGTGTTGTTATGTACTTGATTAATGTACGAGTAGATCTGAACCCTGTTTGTTGCTGCATAACTTTTACTGATTCGACTTGTGAGCTCATATCTGCCTTTCTAAGATAATTTTGTTTGCTGTTCTGGTAGTAATAAACTATACATTGTCATTTTGCTAGATTCAATATTGCAGCAGACTTGATGGATCAAGCCAAGAATGCTGGTGAATTGGGTCTTGCAGGAATCTTGGTGTGGATGCGGTTTATGGCCACGAGGCAGCTCATATGGAATAAAAACTACAACGTCAAACCACGGTAACTGACTTAATTAAATAACTGTTATGATGGACTATTTTATAATGAGCTTTAGACCTTTGTGATATGAGAATTTTTGTCGTTCATTCCTCTCAAAATTGGACTGTGAAAGCAACTGACCCACGCAGCACTAGACTTTTCATTGCTCTCTGAGGTTAATGAACAATTTTTCATTCTTCAGATCTGATTGTGACCATGTGCCATAATTCTCAAATGCAAAAATAGTTCTTAATAATTGCATACCTGTGCAGTGAAATCAGTAGAGCCCAGGATAGGCTTACAGACTTGCTCCAGGATATTTATGCAAGCAATCCACAGAATCGGGAACTCTTGCGAATGATTTTGTCTACAGTTGGTCGAGGAGGCGAAGGGGATGTGGGACAACGCATACGGGATGAAATCCTAGTTATCCAGGTCTATAGTGGGTCTTTCTTGTTAATTTTCCTTTGCTTTCTCTATTTATTTCCTTAGCATTTGAGTTCATTGTAAGACTGATAAGTTAATTATTTGTGGATTCTAGAGAAACAATGATTGCAAGGGTGGAATGATGGAGGAATGGCATCAGAAGTTGCATAATAACACTAGTCCCGATGATGTCATAATCTGCCAGGTGGTGGAAATGTGAATTTGAACATACACTTATACTGATTTTCAGAAATGTTTTTTTTTTACTCTTAAAATTACTTTTTCTTTCAGGCATTAATTGATTATATTAAAAGCGACTTTGACATCAGTGTGTACTGGAAAACTTTGAATGAAAATGGAATAACAAAAGAGAGACTTTTAAGCTATGATCGTGCCATCCATTCTGAACCAAATTTCAGAAGAGATCAGAGGGATGGCCTTTTGCGTGATCTTGGAAACTATTTGAGGACTTTAAAGGTTAGTTGTTCGATTCATTCGTATAAAAGCTTCATGTTCAGTTCACTTTTAACATAATGACTGCACTTGATTTGTTATCAATGTTTTATTGATTTTCATATGCAATCATTGCTTGCCATATATATCTCTTCCTTTGGTTTGGTTTGTACAGATAATGGGTTTCAATCAAGTGCTAAACATGATATGACTTATGTGCTGATCAATTTAAGAATTTTTCAAACATGTATGGGAGAATCAGATGGTTTGGATTGTATAAACCTACGTATATATGGAAGCCATTTATTTTGTTTGTGATCACCTGGCAGGTGTTGGTCAGCCAGCCATACTCTATGGTAGTTAGTCTTGGTTAAGAAGCAGAATCTTAATAAGTTTAGCATGACATAAGGTTTTTAGAACTTTATGTTGTTTGTGATCGCCTGGGAGGTGTTGGTGGACCAGCCCTGCTCTATGTTAGTTGTTGTTGGGTGGTGAAGAAGCAACAAGTAGATTAGCATTAGACAAGGATGTTAAGATATATCTATAATAACATAAGAAAGGACCATAAAAGAAATGTGTACATCCTTTGGAAAGGTGGGAGGCGGCACCAATTCAAGACAAGTTGAGGGGAGCTCCATGGTTCTAAATAACGCATGTTACCTATTGTAGCATTCATTACACAATGGCAATGGTGTTCACCCTATCTTGTTACTTCTATTTGGACTGATTAAATAATGATCATTTTGCTTTGAAACACTCAGCACCTGCTATAGAAGAATCGTACCTTGTTTAGTTTTTGGTTCTCCTATCTCCATCAATTTGAGGGTTACTGCATGAAATATATATATAGATATATGGGTTGTTGGTTGAGATTAGAAGCCACATTATTGAGGGAAGAATTGGTGGCCGGTTCACTTGATTGAGATGAGAAGTGTGTTGAGGAAGGTTCTGAGGGTTAATGCAGAAACAATTATTTTCTTGTTTTTTTGAGGATGGTCTTTTATTGGCTTGGGCTTTGATGGAGTCTTATGCTTTTTTTTTTTTTAATTAGTTTTTGGGTTTCATGACTCAAGGTTCGTGGCCTTCGGTCCCCACTCTTAAATTAAGCTTCTTTTTCCTATGTGGTTTTAAAGCTCTAACATGGATATGGCCAAGGAAAGCAGTGCAGTAATCTATGCATGACATGTAACAAGGCAAGGAACTCTCATGCTTGCTATGAAGATTACTACATTCATTCATTGATGATGTTAGTGTTTTGACTTTTTAGTGAAGACATTTAAAATCCATGCATTAGAGAATCGCTAAGAGTTGCTAACTATTACGATTGTGATGACTGACCATTTCAGAATTATAGTATTGAAAGAAAATTTGGAAGTATTGTTATTCTGGTGTTAAAGCAGTGTACAAGAAGTTTATTTAATAAGAAAACTAAATGATGTGGATCTAGGTAGCTAACCCTAACTCAGTTGATTGGAGCTGATCGCATAGTGGTTAGTAATAAGATTTATCCATAATGTTTGTAGTTGTTGATATGCGGAATTGTCTTTCTTTTATATATTCTAATGATATATATCCAAGATACAAGGACCTAATATGGTAAATAAATCACACATATAGTTGTGTGTTTATTCCTAATTTAAGAGAAAAATATACAGGAAATATACAGAAAAGGAAATAGGAAAGAATATAGCTCATTCTCGCTAACTTTTCCTCTCAAGTTGGGGCATAGATATCACATATGCCCAACTTGGATAGCGAAATATAGAATGGTCCACTAGTGACAACATGGGTCATAATGTCGGCTAATTGATCCGAACTTCGGTATAAGGAATTTCTATTATGCCGGAATCAAGATTATCTTTGATATAGTTTTTGTCAAGTTCAACATGCTTAGTTTGATCATGTTGTATTGGATTATCAACAATCTCAATGGCTGCTTTGTTATCACAAAATAACACCATAGGCTTTTTTGGACCAAACCGAAGTTCCTCTATGAGAATTTTTAATCAAAAAAGTTCGGTGATTGCATGATGCATAGCACGATATTTAGCTTCTGCACTAGATAGTGAAAGAACATTTTATTTTTTACTTCTCCAACTCACCAAGTTGCCTCCAACAAATGACAAATATTTGGAAGTAGATTTTCTACCTAGTTTACTATCAATAAAATCGAGTCTATATAACCCGCAACATCAAGATGTCCATGTTTGGAGAATAAAACACCTTTACCTAGAGTTGATTTTAAATAATCTAGAATTCGGTTCACGACATTCATGTGTTGATCGCTTGAAGTGTGTATAAAGCCGACTCTCGGCGCTGACTTCATATGCTAACACCGGCCTTGTGTGAGTTAAATAGATCAACTTCTTACTGTACTTTGATCTCTCTTCTTGTTTGTTGGAATTTGATCGGGATAAATAGATAGGTTATGATTTACCTCAATAGGGGTATCTATAAGCTCACGAGGCGAGTTATCGGTTTTAGCTAGGAGATTCATAGTATACTTCCTTTACGAAAGAAACGAGGCCTTACTTAGATCGAGGGACTTCAATGCCTAGGAAGTATTAGAGAAGCCTCAAATCCTTTATCTCAAATTCTTTGGTGAAATAGCTTTGAAGTTTCTCAATCTCATCTCTATTATTACTGTTACTATCATATCATCAAACATAAACAAGAAGCAAGGTAATATTATTATGATCATTTACAAGGTATGATTTACCAAGACTTGCTTGAATCTATACTCCTTCATTGCATGACTCAATCTCCCAAACCATGTCTTTGGTGATCGCTTTAATCCATACAATGCTTTTTTTAGTTTGCATACCTTTCCTTCTTGTAGTGTAAATCTTAGGGGTAGATCCATAAATGCTTCCCCTGTTAAATCACCATGAAGAAAAACATTCTTCACATCAAATTGTCATAAAGGCCGGTCCAAATTAAGCTGCAATTGATAGTATGACATGAACTGTATTCATCTTGGAAGCGGTGCAAATGTCTCTTGATAGTCAATACCATAGGTTTGAATATAGCCTTTTGCGACCAGCCTACCCTTGTATCTTTCCATTGTCCCATTTGGCTTGTATTTGACGAGTTTATACCCATTTGCACCCCACAAGTCTTCTTTCCCATAGGTAACTCGACCGTTTCGCAACTAGAATTCTTTTGGAGTCATCATTTCTTCTACCATTGCATCCTTCCACATAGGATTTTTAAGGACTTCCTAAAAATGACTAGGAATAGGTACAAAAGGCAGTTGAAGGGCAAATGTTAAATTAGTTTTAGACAAACGGTGATAGGATATGAAGTTAGGATTGGATAAACAACATTGGACGTTTTTGAGAAATTGAATCTATCCGTTGCTTTTCTTTCACGAAGAGGGTATCTTCTATTCTAATCAATATTAGAATTAAGATTGAAATTTTCGGGAGATTCGGAAGAATAGGTATATACCTCGGTGTCGGTCCTAGAAGATTCATCCGATAGCATGGTAGTGTCATCAAGGGAGGTATTAGAATTAGGAGGCGAAACGGTGATATCTTCCTTTCTCCTAGAATATCCCTTCTCAAAGAAACGAGCTAGTCTCTCGGGTCTCTCATTGTCCGATTCAATTTTATTTTGCTTTACGGACGGATCATCTAAACTAAGGATTTCTTATTTGCATTAATGTTATCCGTACACGAGGTCCATATTTGCTTCTATCCCAACCATAATTGTTCCTCTTTTTACTACCGATCTCCCTCCGAAGACGAACTATAGATATATCATCGGAAAAATAGGACTCATTTTCATAGAATTGAACATCCATCAACACATAATAGGTTCCTGTAGGAGGATGAAAACATGTGTATCCTTTTTGTGAATTAAATAGCTAAGGAAAGCACATTTGATAGCACGAGGATCAAGTTTATCTCTATGAAGTGAAGGAACATGAACATAACATACATGGCCAAAAATCTTAGGACAAATATTAAGAGTAGATGGAATAAGAAGAAATCTAGACAACATCCTTAAAGGAGTTTGAAAATCAAGAATCCTAGAAGGCATTCGATCGATAAGTGTAAAACCCGAGAAATAAAGACTTTTTTTTGTATGTTATTCATAAGCATATACACATATATATACACACTATGTCCGTGACTCCTACAAGTTAGCCTATAATCAAGTTATTAATTCCTACAATTCAGCCTATAATCAAGTTGTTTATTCCTACAATTGAGCTCGTAATAAAGACAACTCTGTAATAATATAGTCCGTAACAATTGTAACAATAAGAAAAACGAGTAGTCATGATAGCTTTAGCCCAAAAACATTTTGGAACACGCATAGTAAAACATAAGGCTTAAGCCACTTTAAGGAGATGACGATTCTTACGTTCTGCTATGCCATTCTGTTGGGGTGTGTAAACACAAGTTATCTAGGAAAAAATGCCATGTTATGTCATGAACTTAGCAAGAGATTGATTCACAAATTCACAACCATTGTCGAATGAAAAACTTTTATTTTAGTGTTAAATTGGGGGAGAATCATGTTGTAAAGCCGAGGAATATTGTGGGAAACATCACTCTTAAATTTCATTAAATATACCCAATTAATCCTAGTACGAGTCATCAATAAAAAAGAAAATATTTATGTCTTGAAGCGAAGGAGTGGAAGGACCCTACACATCGAGTATAATCACATGAAAAAAGAATAGTGCTTTTATTAAAATTGACTTTAAAATGAACACGATGGTTTTTAGCATAAATACATTGCTCACATTTTAAACTAGAAACAGAAATTTGAAAAATAATTGAGGAAACAATCGTTCTAAATAAGAGAAAAATGGATGTCCTAACCGATAATTTCAAAGCATAATTCTCTCTATCGATTTTTCTCTTTTGTTTGGAAGTCTGCGAGTAGGTACTTGCTATGTCTCGATTGTCCTCCAAATAATACAAACCATCTCTCTCCTTACCAATGCCAATCATCATGTTCATAAGATTGTCCCGAAACACACAATAAGTAGAGTGAAAAATCACGGAACAATTGAGATTCTTTGTTATCTTGCTGATGGAAAGAAGGCTGTTTGAAAGTTTAGGTGCAAGTAGAGTAGAGGACATAGAAAATGTCGGAGAAAGAGACATTTTCAACCCACGAGATCGGTATATATTTTGCATTAGCAACTCCGTACAAACTTAAGTGGTGGAGATGTTAAAAAATCAAGGATAGAAGCGTTACTAATCATATGATCGGTCCCTCTTGAATCAATAATACAAGCATTAGGACAAGTAGAAATAATAGATAAATCAAAATTACCTTCTTGGGAAGATGCCCGAGATACATGAGAAGCAAAAGATAGAGTAGTATCTATGGTAATAGCATTTTGAATAGAACTTTTGTTTTTTCCTCTTAGCTTGCTTGAGTTTATATCATTCCGGATAGCCATGCTTCTTCTAGCAAACATCAACTCGTATGTGCACTCTTATGGAAGTGGGTGCAAACCGAGATTGAGAAGCTATAGAAGTGCTCTTTTGGACGATTAGAGCGGAAGCTTCGGAGCAGATTTTTGCTCTCATAGTAATCCGTCGTTGAACTTCTTGACGAACCAACGTGTAGGCTTCTTCTAATCTTGGTAGAGGAGAAGTAGCTAGAGCATGGCTACTAACTTGATCTAAATTATGATCAAGGCCAGCAAGAAAGATATAGACCTGTCTTTTACTATACGTTTGTTGTATTTTTCAATATCGGTAGCACATGTTATATCATTTATCCTTCGGTAATCAATCTCCATAAAAATTGAGTGTAATTCATTGTAATATTCTGCTAGAGGCCAGCCACTTTGATTTGATTGGAAAGACTTCTTCATGAGTTCATAAACTTGAGAAGAATCGGATACATTAAGGTAACTTATTTTCACGAGCATCCCGGACTTCTTTTGCTTTGCCACATTGCATAAAGTGTGACATTAGATTATCGCTCATTGAATTAATAAGCCAAGATTTGACAAGTGCATCTTCGACCTCCCATTCATCATAGCTTGGATCATCTTCTGCTGGTGCAACCTTTTTTCCATTGATATAGCCCTTCTTTTTCCTTCCAACAATATGTATCTCCGGGATCTTAGACCAGATTTGATAGTTAGCACCATCCAATTTAATATGGATGGATGAAGGAACATCGTGAGTGGTTATGGTGGAGGTTTTCCTATTGTCGGTATTTGCAACCTCGGGTTTGGTAGACGTACTTGTGGTGCTTGTTAGGTTTTCTATGGACTTAATCAAGTTTACACGTAGCGGAAAAACATAAACTTTACCATAGAAACATGCCAAGATCACATGTATGTTAAAATAATCAATAAAGGTTGAGACTTTTACCTTGAGTTAGATGCTGAATCTTTATTCAATAAGGTGAGCTCGAATCAATTTCTCTTCCTTGCTCCTTTTTCTACCGATTTGAACAATGGGAGACACTGTCTTAATGCGAATGCCCTCTACCGTCTCACACACAAAAACCTATGGGATTAAGATTATGTGTGCTAGCACTCAAAACAATCTCACTTTTATTAATTGATGATTTTGGTTTTGAAGAGAGAAAGAGGGGGCGGCGGCCTTGAGTTAGGAGGAGAGCAAAACCTATTTTCTCTCTTCTTTTATACGTGCCCAATCTTTCTAAGAGTTAGTAGGATAGCAAAACCTATTTTCTCTCTTTTTATATATTTTATTAGGAATAGATTTGTTTCCAATTTGGATGGCAATCTACTTCCTAAAAAATAGGGATCACATTCCTAATCAAATTCCTCTTTAATTATTCTACAAGAATAAGGACTCTTTCTCTCTTTTTAATTAAATAATTTATAATCATTTAATTAAAATACTATTAGGGCCGAATTTAACATTTAAATAAGCCCTAACCGAAAATCAACTTAAGCCCACTCAATTATGTTTTAATTAATAACATAATTTAATGGCCCGATAAGTGAGATAGTTTAAATCCAAATTCAGATTTTTAAAGTGTGTGATCCCGTAGGTCCATTCAATGTTGGCAATGGGCCTAAATCTAATTTATGGACCATAAATCATAAGCGGTCTCTAGCATGACATTATGACTATCCAAATTTAATGAATGTCAATATAAATTAACGTAACCTAGTTGCAACCTTATACAACCCTTTGCCGCTCGATATCATGATCGGCATAAGGCATGAAACATGTCATCCTTATTTATTACTAAATCATTTCTTGATCTATTAGTGACACCGACTAAATCAAATAAATGATAACACTTATCATTTTATTTGCGCATGGCCATGCACTACTCGGTTTCACTAATTAAGTGGTCAGTGATATCTTCTCTCAATAAAGAGAGTGACAATCCCTTCACTTCATTCATGTTTCTTAGCATGAATCGTGACATACCCAATCATACCCATACTTGTCATTTAGTTACAAATGACGTTAGGTGTATGCCAAAAATGTGCAAGGATTCATTTAAGAATCCATAACGATTTCGAGTCGAGGGATTCAAGTATAAGCATTTGCATGAGAATCACTTATGACTTTCAAGCATGTAGTGTTCTCATGAGCGGATCGATCCAAATACACTTGTTCCCTAACATGTATCTATGTTCCCCGATTGATATCCCATATCCATGACCGAGTAAAACATGATCATCTCACAAAGTACATACTAGTCTTAGTTTATTGTCATTCCCATGACAATAATCAACTAGGGACATTTAGAATAGTATTCTTTTATGCTTCAAGGTTTTGCTATCAAATCACGTATTTGATAACTTAAACGAAATTATTTTATTCATAGATATTTTATCTATTTTAAACATGCACAAGAATGATAATAAGATAAAACAATGCCTCATATGTATATATATAGTAAAAGAGTAAAAATACAATGTATTGGGCTAGGGCATACACTAACGAAGTGCGGCTAGTATTTTAGGGGCTAGTGTTTTAGGGAAGAAAGGAGCAATAGCGGCTAGGGTTTTCGAAGAAGAAGAAAGGAGCGAGTGCAGGTAGGGTTTTGAAAAAATTATACGACAAGGCTTTGATACTAAGTTGTTAATATGTGGAATTGTCTTTTTTTCATATATTCTAATGATATATATACAAGATACGAGGACCTATATATGAAAAATAGATCACACATATAGCTGTGTGTATATTCCTAATTTAAGAGGAAACTATACAGGAAATATATAGAAAAGGAAATAAGAAAGAATACAACTCATTCCCGCTAACTTTTATGAGTCCTTTAAATTGTACACCATATGGTTTTGATGCTAAGTGAACTTCCTCTGATTCCCACCTTCGGCTTCGTTATCTTTATTTTGATCTAATTTTTCTATTTTGAATGTAGGCAGTTCATTCAGGAGCAGATCTTGAGTCTTCTATTACAAACTGTATGGGCTACAGATCTGAGGTAATGGCACTTGCTGAAGTTTCTCCACAAAGTTCTCTTTTCTTACGGTTTGATGATATTTTTCTCCTCTCCTCAGGGTCAAGGCTTCATGGTTGGAGTAAAGATAAATCCCATTAAAGACTTGCCATCTGGTTTCCCTGTAATGTCCTTAACTTTTACTTTGAATTTTCAATCTAGATGTCATCTATACATGATATAAAACGAGCGGTGTATGTTCTGTATCTTTCGAAACAGGAATTGCTTCAATTTGTACTAGAACATGTTGAAGATAAGAACGTAGAAGCCCTTCTTGAGGTAATTAAAAATTCAATGCCAGAGCCGAGAAGTAATTACCATTTTTCACTTGTAATTTAACCTTGGTCTTTTCGTTTATTTTTAATACAGGGTTTGCTAGAGGCACGTCAGGAGCTTAGACCTCTGCTATTTAAGTCAAAGGATCGTCTTAAGGATCTTTTATTTTTGGATATTGCACTTGATTCCACTGTTAGGACAGCTATTGAACGGGGGTATGAGGAAATAAACAATGCTGGACCAGAGGTAAATCTTACCTATCAACAATTATTTTGAATATATGCTTTGTTTGGTTTTTGTTATTCTTAATGGTTTCTGACTTCTTCTCTACATATGTGCTGCTTTTAGTTTGCTCTAATTTATATATTCTTGATTACTTCCTTGATGTCAGAAAATTATGTACTTCATCACCTTGGTTCTTGAAAACCTCGCACTTTCTTCAGATGATAATGAAGATCTTATTTACTGCTTGAAGGTAAGATTTTTCACGTTAGTACTCCCAAATACACGTGTTTTGACTTGCTTGTAAGCAAACATATGGTATTACAATTATTTAGATAATGGAAACTTTCTATTATCATTTGAAATTACTTTCATTGCATGTGCAGGGATGGAAACATGCACTAAGTATGTCAAATAGCAAAAGTGATCGCTGGGCGCTATTTTCAAAATCAGTCCTTGACAGAACTCGCCTTGCCCTTGCTAGCAAGGCAGAATGGTACCAGCAGGTTTTGCAACCATCAGCAGAGTATCTTGGATCACTGCTTGGAGTGGACCAGTGGGCTGTATGTCTTTAGTAGTCTCAAAATCCAAAACTTTTTCCTCCATATTCTTGATTATTTTTTTACTCACCCTCACTATCACTTCTTTCAGTTGAGCATATTCACTGAAGAAATTATCCGTGCTGGATCAGCTGCGGCATTATCTACACTTCTTAATCGACTTGATCCAGTTCTTCGGCAGACTGCTCATCTTGGAAGGTTAGCATGTTATTCATGCCAGTTTCTATGCAACTTGCTCTTGTTGGATCACTAGGAAATTAGGGATGTTAATTTTAATAGAGTGATAAAGGAGATTTCGAATTCAATCAAGTATCATACATCCAAACAGTAAACGTAGGAAAAGAAATATCTGCAGTTACAAACTGTAAGCTCTGAAATGCAATTGTGGTTGGCCTGGAACAGCTGGCAGGTTATTAGCCCAGTTGAAGCTGTGGGATATGTTGTTGCCGTGGATGAGTTGCTTACTGTGCAAAATAAAACTTACAAACTCCCAACAATAGTAGTTGCAAAACGAGTAAAAGGAGAAGAAGAAATTCCAGATGGTGCAGTTGCTCTGCTGACCCCTGACATGCCTGATGTGCTATCTCATGTTTCTGTGCGAGCAAGAAATAGCAAGGTAAGCACCTGTTACCTTGGATTTATGCCCAAATCTTTGCTGGATGATGTTAAGAGGAGAGTCTTGTCAATTGCAGGTTTGCTTTGCTACATGCTTCGATCCCAATATTCTGGCTGACATTCAAGCATATGAAGGGAAATTGTTGTGTCTGAAACCGACATCAGCAGATATAGTTTATAGGTTATCCAATTGTTTCATGGTTGACTTACCCATTGTTTCTCATGATCTGCATCAATACATGTTTCACAACTGTTGTACTGAAATTCAATATGACTAATGATGAATCACAGTGAACTAAAGGAGGGTGATCTAGCAGGTTCAAGTTCAACTAACTTGATAGAAGTCAGTCATTCACCTATAAAGTTGGTCAGAAAGCAGTTCAGTGGCAGATATGCTATATCTTCTGAGGAGTTTACCAGTGAAATGGTTAGACTTACAAAATGGGATCTAATTTATGTTTGATGAACCACTTTCTTCCTTTTTTCATTCTAGAAATCAATACCTCATCCCAGCTGTCGTTTGAACTGTATTCTATGGATTTTGAGAAATATTTCTGAGGATTGTCTTATAGGTTGGTGCCAAATCACGCAACATTGCATATTTGGAAGGAAAAGTGCCGTCTTGGATTGGGATTCCTTCATCAGTTGCTTTACCATTTGGAGTTTTTGAGAAGGTTCTATCTGAAGATTCGAATCAGGTAATTGCAATCTCTAAATTTCATTCTCTTTTGCTAGCAGTTTTAGTTGTATATATCGACAACACCAGCTGCTTAATTCAGATAATGATTGCAAGATGCGGTGAACCCCATTTCTGTTGAGTAACGGATGTATGTACAGATAATGAAAAAATTCATTAGGAGGGCTTAAAATTTATAAACTAATTTGCAAATGCAGTATTTTTTTTTTTTTTTGATAAAATAGAATAATATGAGTACAACATATGCCTAACCTGAAAGTAATGAGAGGACATTTTTTAGGTGCACATTCTTGATTCATCCACCAGTTAATGTTCAGTTAATGTTTTGTGCTTAGTGTTCATATTGGTTATCGTGGGACTTCTTGATGATAAGGGCATGTTACTGTATTGTTCTTGAAAGTCTACTTTATTGCTCTTGAAAGTCTACTTTATTGCTCTTGAAAGTCTTGATGTGGAAGAGAATGCCTCTTTGATGTGTTCTTTCTTCTTTCCTTTGTTGATATCTTTGAGAAAATAGTAAGATATTGCTGGATGTGCAAGATGAACTCATTACTAAGATTAACTATTCTCACTATCTAAGTGAGGATGAATTGAAGTTACACAATGTTCAGGCAGCAATTTAGTTTTTGTCAGCTTCAGAACAACTGGTTTTTGGCATGCATTCCCGAGCCCTGGGATCTAGCGCTTTCCCTGGTTAATGTCATTGCTTAGGAATTTCCTGCCTAACTCTCTCTGTCTCCCCCTCCCTTTAACTGGCAGGAAGTGGCTAATAAGTTGCAACTGTTGAAGAAAAACTTAGGAGAAGAGTTTAGTGCTCTCAGGGAGATTCGCAATACAGTTTTACAGCTGGCAGTTCCACTGCAGTTGGTATGATCTTTCTACTAATAATGCCTGAGATTTATTTCAGTAACATGCACAGATTTATTTATATCTCCTGCCGAGGATATCTATTGTAAATGAATATATTTCCTCTTTTTTTCAGTTCTCTAGGAAACAATTGCAATAGTTAGGTCATTGTGTATTTTAAAGTGTGTTTTTTTTTTTTTTTTTTTTTTAAGAACCTTATATCCAAAGACTTCTCGGTAGCTTTTCTCTATCCCCACTTCCTCCAAACTATCAATTGACCACAAGTTAGTCCAACATGCAGGCAATTTCAGATCTATGTATGTCTTAAACTCTTTAACTTTGGTTGTAAAATCCTGGCAGTGGGCTATGATTTTGCTAAACCTTCCAACAAAACAGATTTTTGCCTAAGCCTTTTTATTATTGTAGTACATATCATGTTTGTTTTTGTTATATCAATTATTTTATTAGAAGAAAATAGTTGCATATGCATGGAAGTGGCACAAATGGCAGTGACTTTTTTGGTAAACATAGTATATTTTAAGGTTGTATCTGGTAAACGAAATTGTTGCATCAGAAAGTTTACTTGAATTTAAATGTCATAGCTAAGGCTAGAGTAAATTTTAGGTCCAAGAGCTGAAGACCAAGATGCAAATTTCTGGGATGCCATGGCCTGGTGATGAGGGTGAACAGCGATGGGAGCAAGCATGGATGGCTATAAAGAAGGTTGTCTGTTTTCCTTTACTAAAAAAAGACCATTTTGATCTTCAAATAATTGTCAATGTAGCCTCTGTCGCTTCTTCATAGAAGAACTCTCACATTGTTATGATAGTTTGTGGTTGACTCATGTAATTCCATTCCATTAACTCTATTCATGATTTAGTAACTAGCATGTCATGTTGTGATTTTCTTATGAGTCTACCTTGGAGAGAACTAAATCTTTGATTGTATAACTGGAATAGTATCTCCTGTTTGCTTGTTGTATATGTTGACAGGTACACTTTTCCTAAATGTTCGATGCTTAGCTGGAGTCCCCTAAACTTATCCATGTTCAAACATGGCATGCATGTGCTGTATTTTGATCATTGTGAATGCTTGTCTGTAGCTGTGCTTACAGTGTTTCCTTCCAATTCTTTTCAAGCATATTTTATTATGCTGACTACTTTATTTCTCTGTTCATGACATTGATCTGTTACATAATCTCTGTCAGGTCTGGGCTTCAAAATGGAATGAGAGAGCATACTTCAGCACAAGAAAAGTAAAGTTAGACCATGATTATCTTTGCATGGCTGTCCTAGTTCAGGAAATAATAAATGCTGATTATGCATTTGTTATTCATACAACCAATCCATCTTCGGGGGATTCATCCGAGATATATGCTGAGGTATTGTATATTTGGTAGTGTTTGCTTTTTCCTACTGGAAATTCAATCACTTTAGCTGGATGAAGCAAGAGGCATTGATTTATTGCTCCCTCGTGATATAGGTGGTAAAGGGACTTGGAGAAACTCTAGTCGGAGCTTATCCTGGTCGTGCATTGAGTTTTATCTGCAAGAAAAATGATTTAAACACTCCTCAGGCAAGCACCTTTCATAAATTTTCTTTAGGTTGTTTGAACTTTCAAGGGGACATGGAGGACTCTCAAGTTCAAGTAAACTAATTGCTTGTATTGTTGCTTCTAGAACTGAATGTGATAGATACTTGCTGGAAAAATTGAAAATAAAAGAAGCTGTGAGCATTGAGCAAGCCATGATTCTGTTATTGACAGTGCCAATATAGCACCCTGATTTTTTTTTTTTTTTATCATGTTACTATTTACACTTACAAATCTGACATGTTGCAGGTGTTGGGTTACCCGAGCAAACCCATTGGGCTCTTTATAAGACGTTCAATTATCTTCCGATCTGACTCCAATGGTGAAGATCTAGAAGGTTATGCCGGTGCAGGCCTTTATGATAGGTAAAAGCATCAAGAAACTCTTGAGAGAGAGGATATACAATGCATTTAATATGTCAAGTTGAAAACTAAATCATACTGAAAGGATTATATTGTTATTACTGTTATTTTTATTTGTTCATTTAGTAGCTATCTATTGTGCAGTGTGCCAATGGATGAAGAAGAGAAGGTTGTGCTCGATTATTCATCTGATCCATTGATCACCGATGATAACTTTCAAAGATCAATCCTCTCCAGCATTGCTCGTGCAGGAAGTGCAATCGAAGAGCTGTATGGATCCCCTCAAGACATTGAAGGCGCAATACGTGACGGTAAAGTCTACGTGGTTCAGACAAGACCCCAGGTGTAATCTTCTTTTTCTTTTTTCGGAATTGGATTTTGCTATCAGAGTTGTATAAATTAGAAAAATAAGATAGAGGGAAATGAAGAAAGGGGAAAATATATGAATAATCTGTAAACGAAAAGAACAATAAATTCAAACTATGGCATTGATTATAGTCACGCTTCTGTTTGCCATTTTTCTTTCCGGCTTAATTATGCCACTGTTGTATTCAGTACTAGTGTTTTGGTTCATAGCTGAAACATCATACTACTGTAATTGGTTTGACGCAATGTAAAAAACTGCTATGTGCCTGAAATCCCAATTTTTATTCGCACCAAAAAAGCATTTTATTATCATGAAAAATGATCCCCAAATCATACTTCTACAGTATAATTACCGATCATCCCAACAGCAGATAATTATATTCCCAAATCAACAGAGTATTTAGCAAATCAATACTTCCCTTGATCATGAACATGGGATGAACATCCTTATGCTCCGAAGCCTGAAACAATCATCCATACTTCATTTAAGCGCCCAGAGAGATGGTAGGAAGCATTGTATTGGGCAATGGTGTAGGAACTTTTATTTTCTAAAGTTCCATTCCAGTGGTCATGTAGAGTAGTTTCAAGAGCTTGTACTTCTTCCTTAATGTTATCGTCCTCAGCAAACCCAGAAAACTTCCTAACTGCAATGCACTTAGCTTCCCATTTTTCTAACTGCAAATTAAGTTCGGGATTCGGTTGTGGATAGGTCCCTTTGTAGTCAGTTGACAGAGACAACTTTACAAAGCATGAAGATCCATTTGGTGCCTGTGTGATGCTTGTTAGAACAGGAGCAGTCATGGCAAGTTCACTAGCGTTGAGGTTTGCACCATGAATGTATTGATAAAGCCTGAAAACCATAAAAAGATAAGAAAGAGACCAAAGGCATACATTCGGATTGAAGAAAAATAAGAATTTCTGATAAACCTGAGCTACCATAATGTAACAGTAAAGGAAAACCTGTGAAAGCCAGCTTTGGTAGATTTCTGGAAAGAAATTCCTTGGACAACAGGAGCAGACATCCAACAGATATCTTCATATAGTCTGATCTCGTAATCTGATTCCTGGTGTATCAGTGTGTAATCTGGGGAATCAGTTGCTTGGCCTATGAAAACGAGGTTGATAATAAAACAGAAGTGAAATGTTGCTAATGCAAAGTAGCACAAGGAAGGACTCTCCATTCCGTCTTCTACAAATTTGAGCAACTTTGCACTAGCTTTTATGGCCGAAGCATATCTCTTGCGGACACAGTACTGTCCCCCACTACCATAGTGCAAATATTCGATAGGACATCATTATATTTGTTTGCATTAGTTAAACACCAGAAGGAACTTATAATATATGGAAAGTGCAACAGAAACGATAGACGCAGTTGCCACACTTTTTTAATAAAAATCGATAACACATATACACAAAATAAACAGGTGTAGCATAACGATCATATATCCTATAGTTTCCTTCGAATTAACAAACTTGAATCTTATTATGTAATAAAGAAGTGTTACCATCATTGTATTATGGTCCAAAACCCACTAATCTTCCAATAGTTTTCTTTTTTTTTTAAACATAGATAGTGGTACTTGTCAATCACAATTGATAAAACATTGATTTTAACCTAATGATAATTAAGGCTATGTTTATTACGAGGAAAACAATTTTCAGGAACTTGTTTTTTCAATTTTTCGAGTGTTTGTTTCGCGTTTAGGAAAAAAATCAATAGAAAATGATAAAGTATTTTTGAAAAAATATTTTTCCAATTAAAAAAGAGTAAAACATTTTCTTTCTTACGAACTATCTCGCTCTCAAGTTACTTACGTCTCACTTCATATATTTTAACAATTTTTTTCTCTATCTTCTTTTTATTTAAAATATATCAATTTAATTTTTAATCATTCCTTATCAATTATTATTAATTATTTAATTATTTTTTTCTCTTTTTCTACTAATATTTGATTTTTTTCATTTATAGATACATTAAATATTCTTAAAAACCATTTTTACACCTTAAAAGTATTTTTATAATAAATATTTTAATAATTTATCTCTATTTTTTTTTACTATTATCTCAAACACTACTTAAAATATACTTAAATGATTGGAAATGATTATTACAAGACTGTAATTTTTTGTAAAAAAATTAAAATTAATTAATTCATTAATAAATATATTATTTTTTCAATACTATTCATTTGCAACTAAATCAGTAATTTGTAATTTTAATCAATTGTAAAATTTTGTTGGTAATTGTAGTGAATAATTGGTTACAAATTATTCCAACATTAATATTTTGAAACCAAATGAATAATTATCTACAAATGATAACTAATAATTTATAAAACTATTTTTAGACTAAATTATCAGTTCAATTTTTTTTTAAAGAATTCTTAATTAAGTTACCAAAATAACAATGCTAGAATTACTTAGAATTTTCTTTTGCTAAATATGAATATTGACTCGATTGTGTCTCGGGTATTTTTGATGAATTGGTTTGATAGTTAAAAAAGTACATATTATTTTTTGAATTAAAATTTTAGAGTTAGTATTTATGAAAATTTATTAAATTTTTCTAAATGTATCTTATATTTTGAAATTATGAATATGCATTTTTGAAATTTTTTCAAAACTTGTTGATGTAACAATCACATACTATTTTTGTATTTTAATTTTCTATATCAAACAAACAATGAAATATATTTTTTAGTAGTTTTTTAATGTAATTATCAAACGGCAGAAAATATTTTTTAAAAAATGATTTTCTGAAAAATAGTTTTTTTAGGAATTGATTTTTCTATAAAAGTTATTTTTTACCGGACAAACGGAGCCTAATAGATATGGAATTTAAAGTACTCTTTTTCTTAACAAATAAAATTGTAATTAAAATTTCTTGGTGAGGGTTCTATTTTAGTTTATTACTTCAAGTTAAAGAAGAAACACTAGTTTTTTTGTTTTTTTTTTTTAGCTTTATTTATGAAAAGTTTTTCACATTAACGGGGTGGGCAGAATATTAGGTAGATGCTTTTTATGACAAAACTAAGCGCCATATGTCAAAAAAACCAATCGTATAAGAAAAGAGACGACGGTTCATGTCGGAATGATCATCAAGGATATCCGAAAAAAATGTAAATAGGACAAACACGAAGATTCAAATCTTGGATAATACTATGAAAGTGGCTTTGTTCCCATCAATTTAATTTTGTTTATTCCCATCAATTTTATTTTATTTCTTTCAAAATATAAAGGCGCCATCATCATTTGTTTTCCATTGTTAAGGTGCTTATCGACCTAAATTATCCCTATCAATTGAAAAGTTAAGATGAGATAGGGTAAACAAAATAAAAGTTTCAATTTTGAATTTTTTTAGTTGCAATGGCAATGATATTTTTATATCAGTTTTCACGTATTGAGATTTTTTTCTTTTATGAATAGATTTTTAACAAACCATTAACATTTTAATTGATGCATTACAAAAACAATAATAATAAATAAAATTTATTGCATCCTCTTCTATTATCGTACTTCGTGTTTTTTTCTTTTCCTACAATTATTAAACTTTGTTTTAAAGGGTAATTAAAAGTACTTAATACGTTTATAGAATTGTACTTTTCTATAAGTGAGAGGAGTGAAGTCTTAAGTTCTTTCTTAAAAGAAGTATGAAGAAATAATATACTTCATTAAATGACTGACAGCTATTTTTGACTTTATGACAAAATTACTTTTAATTTTTTTTATAAATGACAGAATTCCAAAATATATATTCGTGCTGTTAATTATATTGAAACAACAGTTACCTGTCTTTTTAATATTTTATTAACTTGTCTTTCCAATATTTTATTAACTATATTTATTCATGAACCAAGAATAATATAAGTAACCTCAAATATGAGTACCGTGGTTTTCATTTCAAACAATATATAATTAAGAATATTTTATCTTGTCATCCTTTCAAACAATAATATAATTAATTTTTTAATATTTTTTTATAAATTTTTTTATTAAAAAAACATAAATCATTCTTCTTTATGGATTGATTTTAAAATTAAAAATTATAATAATTTTAACTAAAATATTAATCGAGAATTGAAAAAAGAAACTTTAAAAATACAATTTTCACACTATTGAATTCAAAAAAATAAAGTTATAATTAATGGACGAGACTTTGACAAAAATTAATAAATGAAAAAAAATTCTTATTTAATACCGATAAGAAGATTAATTCTTAAATTAACCACGCAACGCTACAGGTAAATAGAACAAAATTATTTAAAAATATTATAATTTTTTCATTAATTTTTTATTTAATAATAATTATTTTTTTGTTTGTTTTTCATAAAATTTCGCTTAAAAAATATGATTTATTCTTCTTATTCGGGGATTCTTAAATATTAATTAAGAATTCAAAAACAAATACTTTAGAATTATATATATATATATATATATATATATATATATATATTACAAGAATGTATCCAAAAAATACATTTACAATTAATATATCGGCTTGCATAAAAACTAACCAATGAAAAAAAAATTTATTATTATTTAATGTTGGTGAGAAGATTTTTTTTTCTTCATGTATATGCATTTGATCTATATATATTTATTTACAAAACAATCAATAAAATTAGCATAAAAAAGTATTTAAATAATTGGTTAGTTCCTTTTAAAAATTACTTTAATTATTTTATTTCAAATAAATTGATTCTATAATGTTAAAAAAATATTTATAGTAAATAATTTGTATTATGTTGTAAAATGTGTAATTAATTTTTAACAAAATCAACAATTCAATAATTTTTTTATACGTCTTGATCATACTTAGTGAACCGAGATAAATTATTTGAAATTCACTTCTAACCTTTTAGAATTATATATGTGTGCAACTATCGTTTAAATATTCAAAGAATTCATGATATATATTATACCAATATATGTTCTAAAAAAAAGAAAATAAATCATGTTTTAAAATTTTATTCTAAAATTCAAACATAGAGAAAAATAAATTATATAATATCGGAAAATAAAATTTCATATAATTTAATGAGAATTTTCATGAAAAAAAAGATAAATTCAAATCATGAAATTTAAATAATAAGAGTAATTTTGTAAGTCGAAGTATATATTAATTTTAAAATATAAAAAGATATATCATATAATTGTTAGTTTGTGTGAAAAAAGTTAATTTTTCAAAGTTTTAATACCCAATTAAATGAAAAAGAGCATAAATTGATGGAAAAAAGTAAAGAAAAAAAGACATGTGTAGTGCATGAGTTAGGAGAATTAAATTTTTATTTTAAAATTTTAGGAATCAAAATAAAATAAATTGAAAATGAAAAAAAAACATTGTTCAAATGAACGAGTGATTTCACTTGTTCGAAACAAAAATTACAAAAAAAAAAAAAAAACTAGTCACACCAAAAGAAGTGGGAAGTCACTGTTCATTCGTTGTTCAAATGAACAAGTAAACTCCCCACTTCTTTTAGTTTTTAATATTAGAATTATATATATATATATATATATATATATATATATATATATATATATATATATATAACTTGTTGGAACAATTAGTTTATATAGTGAATGGTAATGGCAACTACCTACCCTATTTTCGTGCAAAAAAAAAAAAAAAAAAAAGAAAACACAACAATATTATCAAAAATCATAGAGACCACTACAAAAAAAAAAAAAATCATTTAGCGATGGTCTAAACCATTGCTAAATTAAATTAGCGACAGATTTACGATTATTAAAAAATTATAAAAAACCTTCTCGCTAAATAATTAGCAACGGTTTTTGTTAATTTGTCACTAAATTAACGATGGATAAATCATTCCTAATACCAAAACAAACCATCACTAAATAATTGAACAAGATAGCGAATTTAGCAATGATTTTTATAATATGTTTGTAATCCGTTGCTAAATTTGTGATCTGTTTACCAACGATTTTTTCAAAACAATCACAAATTATAGCCAAATTTAGAGATAGATTTAGCCACGATTTTAAACCATCACTAATCATTTTATTTTATTTTATTTTATTTTTTCTTTTTTTCAAAATTTTTAGTTAATTATTTCGTCGTTCACATGTCTCTAATAAAAAATATTTTATCGACGATGTCCTATATAATTGCATAAACTTTAATATTAAATAATAATCTCAAGAAATTATATAAAAGTAT